CCCCGCCCCCTGCAATTATAATCCAACATTTCATTTATTTACCTTCCATGCACGTGTTTGATACGATTTTATGCATTTCGACATGTGTGGAATATGATGTTTCATTTTTTCTATGACTTTAAAATTATGGAGGAATTGCACTGTTGAATATTTATGAAAAATTCGGTCATGAAGTTATCTGAATTTTCGATTATGTGAGATATGCGAAAATTCCGTTGAAAATTACGAAACGTTCCGAAAAAATTCTGTAATAGTTCCATAAAATTGAAGTAACACCATCACGTAAATCTTTCAAGTCCCTTCCGCAATCGTAAGCGAACTTAAATTCCGTAATAAATTTCAATAGACTCCTTCTCTCCATGTAGTTAACAATTACAAAACAGGCAAGTATAATTAAAATAATTCACAGAGCGATTTAACAAATTATTCTTTTTTCACTTGTCCGAATGGATTTCGTAATTGATTCAATAGATACTAGAAACTCAGGTTGATTTCCATTCACTCAAAAATATTTCGCAATTTCGTTATGTAAATGCGACAATATTCCATTGATTATTCTAGGGATTTCTATTGTTCACCAAAAATAGACGGTTATATCTGACGAGTGACGCACAGCTTCGATAAATATGGATTTGCGGTGTGATAATCTAATTGAAATTGGCAAATCCTTTTTTGGAATCTCTATCAATTTTCATGCTTGGAAATTCTGGGAGTGAAGTTTCTTCTGGATGAACGTTACTGTTGGCCAAATTACAGACTGATCGAATCTATACCCGAGGGTGAAATTCTGATGTGACTAGCTCACGGTGATATAATCTCTGTAGATGGAGAATTTCAAAGGCACGCGATATTGAGTGAAAATTACACGAGTTGCGTCAAAGTTTTCGAATTATGTATATATGAAGCTATCGCGGACTTTGAAGTTCCCCCGACCCGCATAGGGAGACACCAAAACTTTGATGTTCTCTTCGTGACTCTATTCCATGACCCCAGATGTTATTGTTAGTGTGACAATGTTACCCTACGACGATTGAAAATATACTTGTTACGCGATGCGCTAAAGATTCTCAACTCTCCGCCAAAATTCACGTTTTTTTCCATTTTTTTTTTTGGAAATTATCCATGGGATTGATCTGGAAAAATATAAACTTTGTGCTTATTATTTAATTTTCAGAGTATAATGAAAACTCATGAAAATTCCCATTTCATTACGGTTCCAGTAAAATTGTAAATGAAAATATTTAGGGATTTACCAAAAATAAATTAAGAACAATAATTGATTTTGTACATCAGTCAATCATTTTTTTCAAACAATTTCTGATAATTTGATTTAGTTGACATATTGTGATTTCAATTAATTTTCGCATTACAAAATGCACTCAATTTTTCGACACCCTTTTACCCAAAATTCCTGTTTTTTAGTTTTCTGGAAAATTATCGGTGGGATTGACATTAAAAAAATATAACTCTTCTGCATTTTGCCATTACTTCATGGCTTACAAAGTTCCTTGATAGTGCAATAATTTTCATGCATAATTCTTTATTAAATAATGACAAAATGCTAAAAAGTTGTATTTGTTCACGTGAGTCCCATCGATAATTCCCCAGAATAATGAAAAAATCGTGACTTCTGGGGGAAAGGATGTAGAACATCCTAGTATCGGAAAAACTCATCAGCCAGAGGTCGAAAGGTCAGACAACAGGTCGAACTTTAATGATATGCTAATTAGAAATGCTTTCAAATCTCAATTTTATTTCCTTTTCTAGAAAAAGAAAAGTAGATGGAACTTGAATTTTCGTAACACGAACTGCTACAGCGAATATCGTGTCCTGGAGGTTCAGAGATGACTCTATTCATTTAGCAAGTTTAGTTCGTAAATACGAGTAGCGTAATCTGCTCACAGGGTGCCAGAAGAATAACATCATCCGGGTGATGAGCGGATTTTTGAGCTTTTGTTGACAAAAAGGTAATATAATGTCATGCCATCGACTCATATTGTCTTAGCAAGAGTAATTAAATAATTTCATAAAGCAAAATTATTGTTTCTACCTGTATAAATGGGTTTCTCAATTAATTCAAAGGAAATATGACTAAAGTTATATTCATTTCCATTTCCACTCAGTCAAAGATATTTCGCAATTTATTTTGTTATGTCAATAATAATTATTTATTTTCTTTGGTGTTATATCCTGTGTTTTACAAGTAAATGAAACTTTATTGAATACTACTCTGGGTCAACAGATATTTGGTGAACATTTCATTTCCAATGTCCACGATCTAGAGACGTTTGAGAAGACGAGTCACTTTTGGTTGAAAAAGTTTGCGCAATATTCTTCAGCTAAATAAGAACTTTGGATATAGCTTTTCACCTTGGACTTTAATCTGAAAGTGCAAGAACATTTCTCCTCTTCAGATGGTGTTCTCTCTGGTTGTTAACTCTCAAACCAGTAGCCCATACTTGAGCAGTTTAAAAGTTGCGTCGTATAACGAAGATTGGTTGATACAGCTGGATAGAGGATAACCGCAATCTGTTGAATAAAAAATAGTCGCTTTCCAGGATATCCGTTGTTACGTCGTACATGCTGCTTAACATTGTACGATAATGCACGATATTGGAGCTAATATTCGTAAAATAAAAGTACACAGGAGTTGTTTCAGAATTTTTACCAAGAAGATTGACTATTAAGATTAATAGTATTTACATCGCTGCGCTTCTTCGTGAAAATCACTGTGATAAACTGGATTATTCCGGGAGCTATCAAACTTATTGAAAATTAGAATTTGATAAATTGTGGCGACGGTTATGCCTATGTAGATTTATGAAATTCTCTGTTGGGAATTGTTATACTTTTAAACAATTTTATGGAGTATTCATAAACCTGAGTGCTCGGCCGGAGTGAAACTTTTCTCTTGAATAAGTCAACGGGAGACAACCAGTTGCATTGATGCTTTGAAAAATAAAATGGACAGGTTTTTTTCAGGATGTCTCTATTTTTATTGGTAAAATAATGGTGGAACATTCGTTTCAACTGTTGAAAAGTTTCTTTTGAAATTTTTTAATGGATTTTCTTCCAGTTTCAACGAAAAATTTTTAGTCGATTATATTATGGTATTGGAATTTTTTTTTTGTGAGTATTCAGAGAAACTCTCAGCACGAAACTTTCTCAAATTTATAGCAACATTTTTAGATTTCTATGGAGTAAATGTCGTTTCCACATGGAGAGAAGAGTAATGGACATGCCTGGCAAGAGGTACATAGGCCAGAGGTTTGTAATAGTTATAATAATTTCAATCGTTAACGCACATCCCGTTGATGAATTAAATCGGCTGTCGAGGTTACGTCTTTAAAACCGTAAAAAAAAACCCTAGTCATGTGAAATTTACGTGACTAGTCGTTCACTTTTTCCTGGATTTTTTTTCTCTAAAATTAGTGAAGTAGTAAAATTTTTCCCTCGACTCAATTTGTTCCGCGTTAATACAACTAACAAACAGGAAATTAAATAAATTATAACATTTTTTAAGTAACACGCAATTTACAAACTCATGGTGATATAAATTAAAACTTTCCATCACTTTGTGTTGATTTCATTCGGTTTCCATTACGAGTTAATGAAGAGAATTGACAAACGAGCAATTAGAGTGTTCATTCAGCAAAATATTTTTGTTGCGACCATTTCACAATTTAAAAATTGGGTAATCAATGCAGTACGTTGTGGTGAGACAAAAGGGAGAAATAAAAGGAATACTGCATGATTTCCACCTGTTATATTCTCTTTAATTATGATGAAAACTTTTCTACATAAACTCTGATTACCGTGGATAAACTGAGCTTTGATAATTAGGATGAAAAAAAAATTCAGCTCCGTTTGACCCATATACATTTTGTAGACATAATAGAAATATAATTCGTCCCCTTTTTCTCAACTTGTCAGCTTAATCTCTCTGGAGAATATTTATACAAATTGCAGGCGGAGAAAAATTATCAATATAAATACAGCACTGGAAAAAAAGGCAAATTAATTTTTCCCTCTCCGCATTTTTCCGTAAAATTCCGTTCTCTTTTAATAAAATAAAAAAAATCATAATTATTATATAAGAATAAATCATCGATATGAATAAAAAAGTAAACATAAAAAATCGTACTTATTATTTTTTGTGACGGATTTTATTTTAGAAAATTTTATTGAGAATAATTATGTCCAGCGCATTTTCTAAAAAGAATTATTTCCCAGGAAAAGTTTCAAGGGAAGTATCCCACGAGGAAATTTTTAATTGGTTAATGTTTTTGTGGGGAAATTTTCACGAGGGAAGATCACCGCGTGACGAGATTGAACGAAAATTAATTGAATGAAGTATTTGACGAGAAACAGGATTCGGTAAAAATTGGCGTCAATTTATCGCTGGCTGATTGCAATCAGCGACGAGTGCGAGCTTTTTAACGCATGAGAATTGAAACGGAAAGGTGGAGAGTTATGCTCTAAAAGTCTCAAGCAATTTTTTTTACGGTCCATTTACCCCTGTACTTGACCTTAACCGAGTGATTTATCATGTATAATGCCGGCTACAATTCTCCGTATTGATAGAAATAGTGCAGCTTGCAGTCTGCAAAAAAATGTGTCCGCATTTCGCGATAAAAATCGGACGAACAGGGAAAAATACAGTGTTGACAAATTGCGTACCATTTGCATTGGAATCGGCACATCAATATTTTAGTGTTTAGACATTATGACAACATGCCAGGACGTGTCACTTATAAGACTGCACGTAGTCGCAATTCTGTGATAATAATTATGTCTATATTTTTTTTAAATAAAAATCCCATAATTTTCCGGGATTTTTCACCGTAAATTTTGTTATGGATTTTCGATTTTTTTATTTTTCAGTAATAGTGGATAATATTCGAAGCGGAAGAGAAATGTTTGCCAATTGATTTAACAGGAATTTTATGGAGGCTCTCTGCATATGATTGGCAGAAGAAATTTTTTTCTCAGTGTGAGGAGTTGTAAGGTCGTATCAATAATAAAGTATTGCTTCTTGCGGGATAACTTTTTCCAGATATTGGATTGCACAAAGATTTATTACGTACCAACTCTCGAGCGATCGACAGAGTTTTGTATATTTTCCGTAACTAAAGCTGAAGATAAAAATGAGAAGAAAGTGCAGGGAAGAGGATAAAATAAGGGACGAGGATATATTGTCAAATGGAAGCAGTTGAAACATCTATTCCGGCATAATTTGTCACGTCGTTGGTGTCAAGTTAAGGAATATGAATTGGAAAAGAATTTCCTCGAGGTATTTCTGAAATACCAAAAAATTACTCCAACTTCTCTCCGTACATCTCGAATCCGTCAATTTCAGGGCGATAAAAGAAATGTTGAGAATTAGGCGAGTGATATCCATCAGTCAAACAATGTCACACAATCCATTTTATGAAATATGAGGAATATTTCATGAGTTGTTACTTCTCCTCTCAATAGAAATGTACAATACGAGACACTGTACAGACAACTATTAACTGTTTTCCTATTTTTATTATTAATTCTATGGAACTATTTTTGCTATCCACTTTTTTCATTCAAGGTCCTTATTTCGTTTTTGAAAAAATACAGCTGTAACGAAAAATGTATGAAATTAATACAAGGGAATAATTTGTTTGTTAACAATTATCATATGCATACAGAAATACATTTTTTAAATTTTAAACTCCATGTCTCCCAGAAAAATAATTTGTTTCCTGTTGCATTCATGACAATAAATGATAAAATAGAGTATAAAAAAGGAAAGAAAGTGTGGCGTGAGTCTTAAAAAAATGCAACAAAGTGGTTGAGATACTGAAATAAGTTTTTCCGATTTACGATCAATGTTGATGATGAAAACTGCAAAAGTCATGAATGCATCTCGGCAAGTTTGCACGGGCAACAAGAGACTTCTGACTTTTGTTCTCGAATGGGCTTCTTATGAACTCCACTGGGACTAATTGTTCCACCAAGAAAAATAAGTACAAGAAAACAAAGGGGAAGTTTACTGATTCAGGCTGCACGACAGTACACGTCTTTTGCAGCGTTTCGCATGCAAAATATCTCGCAATCACCACTATTTGGAAATAACAATGGTCTTGCGTGGAAATAAAGAAGACTGCTAATTGCATTCTGGGGGGTGCTATTGTGCGATTGCTGTGGAACATTCCACATATTGGAGATATTTTTAACCTTCATTTCCCTCATGTCAATTCAAACTTATTATTGCTATCTATTTTTATAGATGTGCCACAAATTTTTCGTTAAGAAGTCTCCGATATCGATTTTTAGAGAATTTTTTTGACTTTTGACGGGAATTTTTTGCGTCATCGAACGAATCGTCTCAATTTCTCTCCGTTCAGACAATAAATGAAGAGGATGAATTTCGTGTTGTGAAGTTACTCTGCTCTTTAACTTCCCAGCGAACAATCGATTAACTTCCCTCAATTTAATATTGTGTTCTCTCGTAACAACTTGCCTGTCAAAGGAGATGACGACGAGTGTAAATGTACTGGATGCGACAGTTACATTTGCGACGAAATTGTTCACTGTGCAGTAAACTACTCCGAATGGCCAATCAGAGTTTAGCATGAAGATAAAATTGAACGCACAGTTCAGCAATGTCATCATCAGGTCTGCCATCGATAGATTGACCAGTAGATAATTTGTCACTGTCCGCATTCTTCTGTGAGCTGAAACAGAATAAAAAAGAAAAAAATGATTTTCGTCTCATTTGAACACGAAACCTAAAAAATCCGCGGATAATTGAACGTCATAATTAGACGTAAATAGCGTAAATTGCATTTACAATTTTTTGGTAATACGTAACTAGGGCAATGTTAAAGTGGACGATTTTTTCAAATAATTCGTATCAGTTATGAAATTTTTGCAACAACAATTTTTGGAACAAAACGAATCAGAATGACATCGATATATTAATCACTTTCCTAATTAAAATTTTGAATACAAAGTCTATTTTTAAATAAATATAATATTATTTTTGGAATGAAAATTCCCGAGGGTTACAGGATATACCATTTTATTATTATGTGTACATATGTATTCTTCAATCAAAAAAATGGAGGGCTTAGCTGACTCGGAGTGACGATTTTTTAAAATGAACGTTCCAGGAGAATATTGATTTCAACGCCAAGATGAATTTTACAATAAAATTTTTGCTTTTTTTTTATGGGAGTAATTAATTATTACATGATGAACTTAGGGAGACGGAATGAGAAAATATGCAAATATTCAATCTATTGACATGTTTGTGCTGGGACAATAGTACGAGCGAGTTGGTATTTGATATTATTATGGAAGGCTTGTTTTTATTGAGGATAATCGCCGGAGGGAGTACTTGGAGTACATGAAACTCGCTGCATCCTATGAGTTGAATGTAAACATTTACGGGACGTGCACACGTCCTGAAGAATTCACGAAAGAATCTCATTCCATCGGTTTCGAGGGGCTATTTACTCGTGATATAAAATAAAATGACAGTTGACATCCAATAAAGTCAATGAAATCGCCTCGGTTTGGGGTACTTTAAAGAAAAAGTTTTTTTTTAATCACCTCGACTGAGAATTCAGCAAAGAGAGAACTTCAATAAAACGGGGAAATTCTTCAATGAGTTAGAGATAAGAGAATACCGAGGCTTGCGAAGAGTCGAGGGCTTGACATCCCCTAGTGATGTCAGGCCCAAATCCAGGACCCTGGACCTTTGACCATCCTCCATCATTATATATCTTTCGTATCCCCTTGTTGCATAATTTTAGAAGCTTCTACCATTTGTATCATCTTCGACATCTTAAGTTATATTCTTTGAATATCTAAAAATCAATAAAATTTATTACTACATCAAATCTGAAAAAAAAATGTAAAAATATGGATTTCCTATAAAATTCATTTCCCTATGCTTTTAAATAGCCTTTTTTAAATTGGAAAAATTCAAATAATTTCGAATTGAATGAAAGAAAATCGACATGGAATTCTCTCTTCGATTTTTTTTTCTCGTTAAAGAGATGTATGAAATCGAACTTCAATAGGATTTGCCTGTATGAAAATAGTCTCATTCAAATAGTTTCGCATAAATTCCATTCATGGATGTAAATCATTTGTTATCTACATAATCCTTTGCCTTGCGATTCCTATAGTAAGATTTGTTACATCGACAATGAGCTGAAAGTCCTGACATCTTCTAACAGGATATTCCATTCAATATCCTACAGGAAATTGATCGCTTGAAGGCGTGTTAAAATGAGTCTTACATTGTGGAACATGGGCTTGCTTCATGAAGTCACGTTATTTATTTTATGCCATGCGGTACGATACTCAATGGAATTGTTTCTAAATGAACTTATTCACACGGGTTTACGCACAATTAGTCACGAACCCGTCTTATCGTGCCACAAGCAATTATTGCAGTATTTTTATCAATTTTATCGTGCACGGCGCTTGTTTTTTAACGTTAACGTATGCCATTAATTTCATTCGTTTATTTTCGTCCGTTTCGAAAGAGATACATCCAACGGATGTAAATATTTCAAAAAAGAAAATGTAAAACTGTTTATAGGTAAATTTTAACGAGCGTCGAAAATTTTTGTAGTACTTTCACAAATTTTATCTCTAGACTAGAAAATAACGCGCGTATCGTAAATTGTCATGCTAGAACTAGAATGCCAGTGCGAAATAATAACGAATCATTTACATTTCGCATTTTCTAGATTATCATAATGAAATCATTATGAATATTATACAACATTAAATTATAATTTTTCTGTGATTTTTATTCAAACAGTTCATGTTTCGTTATTCATTATATCATATATTTTCAATATATGGTGTATATTGAAAGAGAATTATATATCAGCGTGGAAAGTTAGAATGAGAAAAAGATTATTGTATATAATAATACTATATTTATATACTTAAATTAAAATTTTCATTTTTATAGATTTTTTAAATTCTGACTCGAGAGTTTCATATTTCATTAAACCAATATATATATTCCATATGAGACGTTCAATTCAGAATGAACGAGGAATTATGATTTGATAAACTATAATTCATTTTACATATTATATATTTGTCAAATTGCACGAAACCGATTGAAAAAGACGTTACGTCAGATTTTGTGAATGAGAAATATATTTTAATACCTTGAAATGATTCCCGGGAATTCTTTTCCAACATACAATGCGAATACTCATTTAATCTCTGCGGAGAATTCAGGTATGCGCATAATCCCAAGCAATGCAAAATAGAGATGATTACACCTGACGATGGGTCAACTAGATAAGACAATCAAGTCAGGGGTTGGTGGGATACCAATCAACTCCAACCCGAGCAACTCTCCATTCCCAATCAATCCGTTTATAATGACGAATCGAATAATGTTGGGAGCAATTGCAGTAATAGCTGCACTTATTCCTGCGAGTTTAAGTTCACCTGTAGCGACCAGTCTACCAAATATCACAGCGATTATACCCACGAATACATCGACAATAACAAATGTCTCGGGATTGACGCCAGATCAATCAGGTATGTTGCATTAAGAGAAGAAAAACGTCGTAATTATAATTATACGTGATTGCTCGTCATTTAATCATTTTTTCAATCATTTTTTTGTTGCCCAGTACGATTCAAGCCTGCATACTTGATTCAAGTACATGTAGGATTGATTCAAGGGTATATTCGATTGTAAATAGATTTTTCGAGATCCAAACGGACGCTTAGTTCCATTAATTGGATGTAAATTGACAATTTCGTGAAAAGATTGATTCAAGAATGAGATTAAGTGCGGATTAAAATATTAAATAGAAATTACGTGTCTCACAGATAAATGATGCTCTTTTTTCTCAGTCTGATTTCGATGTGGAAGTTTCAATGTTGTGTAATTATTTTATATATTTACGCAGGATCAGTTACCGATTTGCAAGTACCAACGTCTCCGCTTGTGACAACTACAGTTGCACCTGTCACTTCAACCTCGGATTCCATTGGTCATCCAGATGAAATCTACGGGCTTTCCGAAGAATCAGCATTTTTATTTTTCAATCCATTACCTTTTCCCCTGAGATTTTTTATGGAACAACTAATTCGTTTTCTTAAACAAATACTCTCTCAATTGGATAAAATCGCCGATTATTTCGACAATCTCGAGTAATGGACCAATGCGCAATTTTTGGATGATCGAAATTATGTGAATCAAATCTCTCAAAATTTTTTATTGTAAAGGTGGAATGGTTTATTTAATTGGTACAATAATAAAGTAAATGAACAGATGTACTCCGTTTGTAGAATATGGTCCACTAGTTTTTAACCTTCAGCATTTTTATGTAATTGTGATATTCAAGAGGGAAATGCGAGAAATAATGATGAAGTGAATAAAATTGGATGATTTATGAACAAAAATATTGACAATTCAAGTGAACAACGGACGTAGGATTTTCTGTTTTCACTTTTTCCTGAAAGAAATACGAGAGTAAGAGGAACAAAGTGTACAATTGCAGTGATATCTATTTGCGTTTTTCTAGTCTCTTCCAAATTTATGAGAAATATGTATAGCTTTTTAATGATAATTTGTAGCCATTGAATACGAACGTTTTTATTTTTCCATACGTGTGACGTTATTATCGCCCTGGTAATGCGGACTAACGGCGCATAAAAGTGCATCCAATTATGATAAGAAAACTGTAAATAGATAAAGTTATGATAAATTGTGCGCAAAATCTTGGATTAATCCCACATGAGTCGGTCTACTCCATTCTTGTTGCGCCTTTTACGGATTCCCTAGAGGAAAATTATTATCGACTTCTCCAGGGAAGTAAAAATTAATGAATATAGACTCGATCGTTATCATCAGCAGCTGTTTGAAGAATAACTCTGAATGACAGGACGAAGAAAAAAGGCGAAAGAACACCGGAAGCAGATTTTATTGATGCAACAGCTCCTGTTAGTCTGCGAAGGAGCAAAGAAGATAATTGATTCGTTAATTAATTTCCTGATCAAGTTGAATTAAATTGTCTTTTGAAATTGAAGGCTTCCGTGGCATTCATTGATCCTTCAGTGTTCTTTTATTACGTAAAGCGCGAATCGAGTAAATTATGGAGAGAAGTGATTGAATGAGTCAAGCCTGGAAATAATAGACACGCAGAAAATAGTACACTTGAAGTAAGAGATTTAGAACGTGGAAATTACGGGCTGAAACCACGGAGGTTACGCCCAGAAATGCCGTAAATTATTTTTATGTCGTAAATTACGAGGACCCATACCGTGAATTACAAGTTTTGATCTCGTGAATTACGAGGTTCGATCACGGAATTTATGCTTCTTTATGACTTATGACTTATGACATCCCAATCACGTAAATGCAAGGGCACTTATAAGAAAAACTTTTTTGGACAACATCAAATCTTCAAGTTCGAGAATATTTTGAGTCGGCTGACATTCAGTGACGTTTTTCAACATTTATCCAAAAGAATTTTGAAAATTTGGAAAATTTGGAAAATTCGGGAAACCACCGAAAAATGAAAGACATCGAAGATGGTGATGGTCCTGAGCGAAACAATTAGCTATCTTCTATGGCTTCCGTGAAATTTCCCCTAAGCGGGTCGCTGTAAGTTACGAATTCGGAATCGTAATTGACGGGATCGACCTCGTAATTTACGTTTTCAAACCCGTAATATATGAGGTCAGAAATCCCGTAAATTACGTTCTAAATCCCGTATTTTGAATATAGCGTTTTCTGTGTGCACCATTCAGTAATTAAGTATTAATTAATTTGACGTCTGTAATGTTTCGAACTCCAATTTGAATAAGTAATTAAATCTTCATTATAATGATCGTATATAAAGTTATTTCATTAGTTCATAACGAGTCCTTACGCCAATTGAATTTTGATCGTACAAAAAATATATCGATTCTTGATTGAAATCTCGAGAGAAATACAATACGTCACATATAATTATTAACACATATATTTTTTCCGTGAGGGTACATACTTTCAACAGAACGGAACACGACTGGCTCGAGGCAATTTGGGCTTGAATAACGGAAAAAAAAATACTGAATGACGATCAATCGCGTAAATACTTGGTCGCTTTTTATCAGTGTACGGAATTTTTGAATAAATAGCCATTTCCGGCATTTGATATTTTCCAAAGGTTCACCCACCGATATCATCAAACGTCAACTGAAAATAGGAGCATTTCCTGACATCAAAGTCTCGTATTTACGTTGCTATCGTTTTATTGATGAGCGTTATGTATCCATGCTGTCATTTTAATTATCATAAGTACCTGCGAGTAGTCGATAACTGGTGATAATGAATTTGGGGGAAGAGAATTTAAGCAGGAGTATTCAACAACGGACAAGCCAGTCGAAAGAATCATCAATAAAGGAAAACATTGGGATTCAATGTGTATCTGAAAGCCATTTCTGCTGATAATTATCTGAATGCTTGGTATTTTCCGAACCGATAAGACCAGGAAAGGTGAAAAAGTGTTTTATTTCAGCAAAGCTGTTGCATATTTTCAGTTCACTTCGTGAAAATGTCGCCATTGACAGCACTAATAACGATCCTGGTAGTAGCTACTCTCATTCCCGTCAATTTGAGTGCACCTCCTACGTCTGAGACTCCAGCAGACGATGAAGAATCTTCAGCAGGAACTAATGACCAAGACAGTCAGCCAGGTATACGAAAATATACTCTTCATAACGAAATTTGTAATTCGATAAATTAATCGATTAGTTCTAAAAATTATCCATTGCATTAAATAGCCATGAAACAATTCTCTGGATACTTCAAGTACTTTTCCTAAATTTCAATTGAGAGGTAATTTCCAACTTTTCGTTGTTCAATTAAACTTGCTTCAGTAGCTCGCCATATTGTTATGCACTGTGTACCGCACTAAGTACTTCTATTCTTAAATTATCCTTCATCGTTCTCGCGAGAGGTAATCTCTTGAATCATCTCAATTTATCTGGTGTTAATTACCTTGTATCTTGCGGTAGTACTACATCAAAAGTATTCAAATAATGCAATTATCCGCGTCTTGCAGGATCAACATCGCTGTCTACGGAAGTGTTGAGATCAAACTCAACGCTACCAGTTGGAAGTGTCTTTCAATCTCTCAGTGTGGTTGAGGATCTCCTTGACGTATTGCTGGCATCCATAGAAAATGTATTGACACCGTTAACACTGCCACTTTCCTTCCTGCTGAAGGGACTGCTCACACCAGTTATTATTCTCGTCAGGATTCTCCTATTGATCGTGCAGGTTTTGCTCGATTTCATCGTTGGGGGATTAGTCCAATTTCTGATTGCACCCCTTTTGAAGGTTCTTGGACTGGGAATTCTTGTTCCAGTCCTTAATGGCTTACTTGTCATTGTCAATCTTTTGCTGGACAGGGTTTCGTGTTTGCTGGGTCTGTTGTCCTATTTTGATTTCCTTTTCCCAGACTGCGGTAATCACAGGTCACCGCTGCACAATCCGGCATTGGTTGACAAAATTCTTGCCATGTACGATCAAGATGTGTCCAGGAAGTAATTTTCAACAGGAAAATATATCAGTTTATTCTTCATGACAAAACGACTTTTCTTTGACTCGCATTTAGATCCCAAAATGGTTCCTGAATTATTCATTACTCAGTGTTCCAAACTTGTCACATATTTTCCGATAAATCGCTTTGCTTTGCACTCTGAATTTTTTCCTTGCAGAATTTGATATACTAGTTTCTGGCTAGGGAAGCTTGGGGAAAATATCCGATTAATTTTGAAACAGGAGTGGCAACTGATGGATTAGTATTCCATTTAGAGTGAAATAATAATTCAGATTTCGAGGTAATTTTCGTCAAACAGATTGCAGGGAATAGCATCCGAGTGCATTTACTGAATGAATGCTAGCCCCTGCAAGAATAATTTAGCAATTGACATGAAATAATTCAAAAAAAAAATCATAAACAAGGAAAAAATGTATTTTTCGGAGGAATACCTCCAGAGTGATTAATTTTGCAATTACATTCAGAATAAAACTTATTCGTCTACCACACAAAATATTCGACATGAAATACATTCCAAGATACAACGAACGTTTTAAAAGCCGTGAATTCCCGAGAATTCCCGTGAATTCCGTGAATGTCTACCCAAAATTTTTTGCTAATTTTGTAAAAGTTGCGAAATAAAACAATTTGACAGATTCAAAGAGATCGCTCCGATTGGCTGACGTCCAAGTTCGAAACATTAAATAAAATAAAAAAAACAATAATGTAATTCGTAACGAGTTCTCAATAATTTCCCTGTAATATCCACTGCACCTAATTTTTATTCATAATCAAGGTCGCCCAGATTCCCAGCTAATTAGTGGACTCTACAGGATCAGAGCTATTCATAATCCTTCACGTTCCAATAGCTGATTGAACCCCTTCAGGATAGCAGGATTAAATCAAATGATCCTCAATAGGTTTGCATATTGCAACGTGTTAAAGGAACTGTTCGCAGAAACATCAGATCATCCGATTAACGATAGAACCGGGCAACAAATTCAACAGACGAAAATATATGGATTTCAAATTAATTGGACAGTCTCCATTATTAAATTTTAATTCTATAAATAATTGAAGTGTGGGCACAGTGAAGACAACATGTCGGGTCATTTGGTAAAATTGACTTTTTCAACGTGTGGGAATGGGTTGCTGTCCCCAGCTGTGCTCAGCTCATAATAGCAACTTTCATAATGCCAACGTACTCTGAATGGTATCTCCTAGGATATCAGTATTGATGTCGCAATTGAACTGGTAATGCGTATAATTGCACTTGAATGGATTAAATTATTATATACAGGTGAACAATTATAAATAAATTGTCCAGATTCTTCTTGAAACACCAACTAACTGCCACATGCACTGAAATTTTAGATTGACTTTGTGCTATCTATAATTTATTTTTTAAATGTCCGTGAAAAATGAATTTTGTTTAATAAAACAGTTTTAGTTTTGGTTTAAGTCGATTTTTAAAATCATATTAGGTTGATGTAACGTATAGAATGATGAATTTCAATTTGATTACAGCGGATCAATTTCGGAAGAAAAAAAAACAAAGGATTTTAATTCTGAATAGCAATGACATGAGTTCTATATAACATATGAGAACAAGGACTAATGAATTGTTCTTTTGATACATATGCATTAGAGTGTTCCAGACATCGTTCGTAATGAAAACGCAAATGGCAAAAGAATAGCTTTCATGAATCAGATGAAATTTTTCAGAACTACTGGTGCAGGAGGAAGAGACTCAAGGGAGAGTACAATTACGGTGAAGCAGAGAATCAAGGTCATACGGTAATTAGAGCTACAAGTTTTTGACTGGTTTATTCGAGTGAGGAAAAAATTTTTTCAAACTCCCGGAATGCCTGGGGGAAATAAAACAAGATGGTAAGCAGTCCAACTGTTGGTACTTTTCATTTTTTTTTTTTTGTTTCGGTGATGGTATTAAACGAGCATTTAACGGCTGATCTATTTCCACAGGTAATTTTTCCTTTCAATTTAAATAAACATTCAAACATTAAACAATTATTATTGTTTTATACTTATTCGAGGGAAATTATCAATTTGACAACTGTAAAAGTAATTAAAAATGATAAGTAATGAAAAATTGTAATTTTTCATTGGATTAGCCTAGATTTGTTTATTAATGAATAATCTCGCATATCCGAAACGTGAATACTGATTTTTATTTTATGACGTATCCCTTTCGGCCTGAGTATACAGGGAAATGTAGCCACCGCGAAATTGAATTTGTAATTTGCAAGAGGTACTTACTCTCTGTGCAAAGGAGTTTCTTGTTATTTAAGTCGCGGTTAGAGACTGAAACAAGCGGATCCAATTACCCCGTTTCAAGGGACAAGAAATCGAGGCTAATTTCCAGTTTTAAGATTCATCATTGCGCAAGAACGACATGACTCGTTCAAATCAATTCGTCATTGTTTAGGACAATGGGTCGATTTTATTTTTACACCGTCAGCATGTCGTGATCGTTATTTGCTCTTCGATCGTCTTCACGCTGCGCCAAAGTAATTGGCAATTAGAAACATATTTTCGGAGAAACGAGAACTTTTACCTGAAATCTCTCTGAAACGATAATTTTTGCTGAATCTTCAGAATGGCCGATTTCTTATCACTGATTGGCAATTCACTTCCGTAATTGCGGGAGAAAATATCTTTTCGCGATTGATAAGAGGGGGAACCTTTATCTCAGGGCTAATAAAGTGAATTTTTTCGCAGGAGATTTGTCATCAAACAATATTCAATCCTTTCTCGATTATATCGGTTATTTATTTATTACAGATTACCATGCGAAATTGATGCACGATTGTTGGAAAGACCACGATAAGTTAGTGTAACCAATTACTTTATCGAAAGGTCCACGTAGTTCGATAGTGCAATAATGCTGATAGCTTATAACTCAAGAAGCATTGTAGCAGTAGTTTAACTCTCAACTCGAGCAAGAATTACCCCAGAACTGGTACGTGAACTTTGCATTGAAGATGGTGGATGGTAGGAAAGCGTTATCGATTCTAAAGAAAAGTGGAAAACATCTGCCGTCAAGTACCTCGACTAATCAATGGAAAATTCAAGTCGAACGAATCGAGAGAAAAAAAGAGAATGAGCAGCGAAAATTTGCTAGAGCGAAATTCAATAGAGATTACTAGAACTTAACTTATAAACTTATAACTTATTCTATTTAATTCCTCGTTCGGTCCACCCTATTTAGTTATTGTGAAATAAACGTCATTTTAATAATTTTTTTTCGTTCTCACAAAGTACGCGAATTGTTTTGTAAGTTCTAATTAATATTTATCTTTTTATGGAGAAAGGAGAGTGAGAGTTGAAACTAAAAAGTGAAGAAGCAAATAAAGGAAAAATTATTCGAATGGAGATAATATTTTGTCCTTATTTTTTCGAATTGAATTTAAATCCTACAATGATTCAAAAAAATTCGTGTCCCCGAGTTTCGAATGAATAAATGAATACATTATCCTGGAATGGTTGTTTAAATGGTACAGAGATGTGCTATAAAAAATAATTTCCAAGTTTCCGGCAGTTCTGAAATCCAGTCGCGAAGATTTAAACCAAACACGCGCTATTCCACTCTATTTACGCGCATCAACTTTCTGACAATAAAACTACTCAATACATATTTACTCCTCGTGAGGACCGAAATCCGCCTCGAGTAAGTGCATTTTATTCCGGTGAAATTGTTTCTTATAGAAGCGACATGTCGGGCTGTGAAAATCCCAAGGGAAAGCGTATCGAAATATTATAGCCGAGGATGCACTGAGTTTTCACCATTTTCATAAAGATGTTAAACCGCAATGTCACTCTCGGCTTGGGGACATTATAATTACTAGAATCCACATATTTGTGTTGTCCACCACTCTGCATTCTTCATTATTACCGTGATGGAAAAAATTCCGTTGTTATTAAATTTTATACTCATGGAATCACCAAGAGAGAACTTTTTTTCGATAGAGGCATTCGCTTTTAGGCGAGCCCTCGGGGAATTTTTCTTACGGATAAAAAAGGGGAGGATATAACAGTTTCGTTTGAGTTTCTATTCCCATTTTTTAGAAGAAAAAACGAGCTTGTGGTGCAATCGGTTTTGGTTTCCTTTTATAAAGCTATGAATATCATACTATATAAATAAATAAATAAATATAAATATATATATTATTTAAAATTATTATAAAAAAAAAGGATTCATTTTTTTTGAGTGGCAAGTGAATTTTTTCTGATTCACTATACATTAAATTTAGATGGCGTATTTTTTATGAGAATGTTGTAAAATAAAAAAGTAAGAAAACAACAAATTCGCAAAAACCCTGGGACAATTTTAGGCTGTCTCGCACATTTTTTTGTGAGGAAAAAATGACTGGGCCAGAGTTAATGCTTTTACGCAGGTGTCCCATTTTGCCCGGATCTCCCCTCGGTAATTTACTTATCTCAAGTGTATTATTTCCGCATTGTTTACTCTGATTTTCTAAAAAGAAATGTAGTGCGGGTGCATTGCTGTGTTGGGGTAACTTTCAAAATAAATTTCCCTCCATGTCAGAGTCCTGGCTGCATATATATTGTAAATGGTATTAAGGCACACTGGAGACCTCCTTGACTTGGCCAATCTCCAGGTTGAGTTAGATAATCCATGTGGATCAACCCCTTCTCAAGTTGTACTTTGCATGCAAAACTTTTCATGTCCGATAACCGAAGGTCGCATTTAGAAAGCACCCGGATGGGTCGGGGTAGGCCACACCCTCTCGTTACAAATCAGATGTGATTATTTGGGGTTGATTATTTTCAGATGTATTAGCCACGGTTAAAAATAAAAGGGAAATTTCAGCTAGAGAAATCTGACTCCTCAATAAATCCTCAGGACTGTAATTAATACTGAATGGAAATTTTTCGAAAAATCATAAAAATTCAATGAAATTCCTGAATTGTTAAAAATTCTTAAACAAAAATCCTGTCATTAATATTAATTTCATTATTGCTAAATATCTATTCCAGTTGTGTTATGTGTAATTCAGTTTTACTGAAAATTATTGATAGTCTTCCGGTGAATTTCCGAGCTTTGAATTTTCTAGTAATTGGATAATAATTAAACAATTGTTTGATACTGTCGCCTGGAGGAACAATGAAAAAAAATTCTTTCTTCCCAATTACGACTAATTCAATGTATCACATTCAATGGAATAAACCTTCCCTTCATGCAATGTAATTGATGTTGAATACAGCCTGTGCAATCGAAACTGTAAATTTCCGTTGAATTATTCATTCCCAAATACGAAAAATGCAAGAATTCACTCGTAAATATTCATATACAATCAAAAATTTAATTAACCCATGGATGCTCCGTATTATTTTCGACTTTAAATTCATTTCTCTTCAATTATCTAAATGTCAAAGTAAAAGAATGTAAAAGTCTGCCTAAATGTTCCACTTAACCCTTCGGCCTACAGGAATTTTTACCTCAAATTGAATTGTCATAAGTAATTTTTTGAAACAGTTCACCGCTTCGATTATATTACATAAATAATAAATAGTCTTTGATTCTGTGGCGTAACCAACAATCAAAAAAAAAATCTCCCGTTAGCAAATAGACCCAAACAAACTGATTACATTCACTGGAAAGTTCTCCTCTATAGCAAATGAAAAAAAAAAACTGCCCTCCATGAAGTGTAATTCATTTCGAAGGGAACCGATACATTTCCAGTTGAATTGAAAATCCATTATCCACCAGAAAGATAAAAAAAAACTCGCAAATGAATTTTTGACCGAGAGACAATATCCTGGTTTTTCCGCGAACCGGCCAATCTTTCCGCGGAACTCACGGAAATTGCGCGGATGATGTGATATCTGCTTTCTCTTTATCGGAAAAACAGACTTGGAAAGAGCAATTTATAGTTTTTCCCCCATTACAAAATCCCGATACATCTAGCTATAAAAATTGGATCGATACCAATTTCGTGGGTCTCTAGTTCTGTTTCACTATCTTCCGCTTTTTATCCCCCGACTAGAAAATAAATGTAGGTTTTTTTTAATGGAACTGAAAAGAGGAGCTATAAGTCACGCAGCCATTGACAGAATACATGTACCCATGAATAAGTTGTATATACACGGGTCTTTTTATATTACCATATCGGTTATTACAAAAGCTTTTTATTAATGGCCAAATATTGACTTCCGTATTTTACCGATTCTACAAATAAAAAGGCAACATTCGATGTTAGTTATGCACTGTCGAATTGACAGGAATGTTGATCAATCGATTATTAAACTGTGTAAATATTTAGAATTCAACCGAATCACCATTTTTTTCGAGACACACCGATAAATTGGTGATAGAAGAAAAAATTCATGTTTATCATGTCATGGCCGGTAATTACCGTCCAAATCTGACAATTCGGTCAGGAATCCGCGAAATGGTCAATTAAAAGCTGACGGTAAATTTTCAACTAGATGGATGGCTCACAGCAATTTTTTTTGGCTACTCGATGTCAGTAAAATTACCGGCGATACATATTTCAGTCATTTTTGTTTTTGAGTTTGTAAATATAATATAATAAATATCGATTTGAATATGGAATGTGATTTTATTTTAAGCTCTTAAAACAAAGTTACTAAAAATGACTGAAAATGACCGTCAATTTACAACAGTATGGTAAAATGACGGTAATTTTTCATTCATAGTTTTAAACCGCTTAAGGAAATCCTGAAGCACGTGATAGAGCGTCTTTCATCGAACCATCAAAGTACTAATTTCCTTTCATCGATTCCGGTAAAACCCATATTGAGATGAAATGAAAAACATCCGGAGATTGTATAGAGCACGCGTTTCTGTACTGCAGCACAATTTTCTTATGGAGATGAAGTGATTCACCAAGTACTCCAATACTTTGAGGATAGACTTCTATCGCGAGCAATTGAACGGATGATTAAGCTTTTTTTCCAGGATACATCACAAGAACGGCGCATTTATCTCGATGATATTAAAGGAGTGGATGCACTAAGAAAAAATTCCAATACCTGAATCGATAAATATTCGAAGTACCGACACTCATGTTTTGCGATAAAGCTCTAGGGGTTGCAGGACATTTTAATGAAAGAGGGGAGAAAAGGTTGAAAGGGAGGACTGAGGGGTGAATTCTTTTGTTGGTCAACGAAAAAAGTTTCCAAATTCTTGAGGAGAATAAATCGCTGCTAGATTTTTTTGATTATTATTTTACATCGATCCAATAAGGAATAACAGTAATCGATCAGGAATTGAGATGTTAATTCCTTATATACCTATGAGGAATTCATATTTATCCATAATTGTTATCAGAGATGGTAAATTTTAATGTCGAAAATTTAGAAATTGTTGGAAAATCGTTGGAAATACATGGGGAGAGATGAATTACTTAAGCTGTTGAATATCGTATGAAAGGAGTAAAAGGGTGCATTAATACCATTTGAAAATGAATCATTAAACTCGATCGGGTATCCATTATAGCAATTGAATAATTCAAGTCCAGTGTGGAACGAACTCGCTGTAAACTCAATATCAGACTGAAGTTATTGGATATTCCGGCATAATAAAGCAGATGATATGAACAGCAGATGATATAGACAGATGATAATTATCCAATTGTGATAGTGAACACTTGATACAGTATCAGATATCGCCATCCATGCGATCCATCAAAGACCCCATGAATGGGCTGACACTTACCCAGGACAATCCACATGACGATGATGTTGCCACCGGTGGCAACCAACAGAATGATAGCGAATACTGTCGACCATGAGAGCTTCTGCCACCAGGACAAATCGAATGGACGTTGTTGACCTGTCAAAAGACAATCACTCAAGTTGGCACGGAGAATCTCGCGTTTAGTGGAACGCGTCAGTATCTCATCCAGCATCACCAGCAATTCACTGCGATTGATGCTCATGTATGTGATGTTCTGATCCAGCACTGATGCACTGCAATTGTACAAGAGTTCAAGAGTCACTCCGTTCATCTTCAATTATGTCAGCCTTCTGTATAAGTCCTTTCAATTGTTCATCCTGGGGACTCAATCTAACTGGAGATCATCGCGCCAGATAAATTCCATCTCGAAAGTCTTGGAAGTTCCAGAAAATCTTCAGCCCCTGCTCACAAATTGCCTCGAAGCAGTTCACTACCTTTCACATGCCTTGTGAAAAGTTCAAGGAAAGTTCATTATCACTAGTTTCAGATATTTACAAGTTCTCTTTGTCATAGTATTGCTGGTGTTCTCGGGATAATGGAAATATCATGCTGCACTCTGCCACTGTGATCTTGTCTCATCGCTGAGGGATTGTCTCAGTTTCTCATCGAAACTTTCTTCATCAACAGCCATTCCAAGTTTTTAATAAATAACTCGTTCACGTCGATCTTCATGAAGGAAATGTGACCCTGTGCGATTTGCAGTGCTTGCTAATTTCTCATGTTTCTCGGCTTCACGGATAATTTAACTGAGGTAATTAACTGTTAATCGGTCGAAGCGATCTGTCGGTTCCCAAGAGTCTCTGATAATTTTGATCGCCCCACATAAACCTTCACACATTATACACTCGAACCACGAAATTCCTCGGCAATAATTACAGAGAAGAGTAATGCCATTGATTATTTGCGCACTCGAGTCGCAAAAGTTCACTAATTAATTCATTAATTAGTACCTGTCGCGTTATGTCACGGAACTTTCAGACTTCTTTTTTCATTAAAAAAATTGAATATAAAATGTGGACTTGGAGGGAAGTGGAATTTTGAATTTTCATTCTATTGTCAATTTCTGGTGATTTAGTTGACTATTTTTTTTGACAACACGAGGATCGGGGGCTGAGGGATAAGACATGGATTCGTATCACCGTTCTCAAGAACACCACTAGAGATACTGACTGTTCAAAAGCACGTTCATTCAGTGCTTGCGTGCGCAACTGGTACTCAACCCTTCAATGTTTCACACTCCACCCCTTTACGTCAATTGATGCTTATAGCACAGGGATTACCCCAACACCCCACACTCCAGATGAAAACACCTGCTGGTAAATGAAAGAGAAATTACCGAATCTCCGGCCTTGATTATAATACGTAGATAGATAGATAAGAAATTTTATTGGTCAAAATTTTTAACAAAACGAAATTAAATGAAAAAATAATTATAATAATTAAATGAAGATGGAAGTGAGAGCAATTGGGGAAAAGTGAAATGATCATTGAAAGATGACAATTGAAAAATGGAAAGTGAAGAGGCCGGAATAATTGGTGCACAGTAAAAAAAAATTCCGCACTGACCGAGTCTTTGCTGATCGGGCTATTGGAATTGTATTATTTATAATTAAAAATTGAATGGGATTGTACTCTGTCTTGGGTAATGTAAAATGCATTCGATCGACGCGGGGAGGAGACTTGGACTCGAATCGTCAGCTATTGGTGAAAGATTGTGGGAAAATTCTGCAAATGTTCCATTATCGAGATTACCACCAATTCTATTTATATGTCTTAGGATAGCAATCGCTGTGCAGACTATTTCAGTGGCAATGTTGAATTCAATTTCTTCTGGAAAATTATTCGGAGATAATGATTCGGCGATGAATTATTATGGACATTCAAAGATTAATCAGTTAAACATTGAAATTATTTAATTAATTTCTTGGGAAATGTACGATGGGATTAAAATGAAAAACTCTAACGTTTTTCCATTTTGTAATTATTTAATGATTCAGGATTTTTCAAGGTAATACCACAGTTTTCCTGCGTTCTTAAATAAATTTTTTACCGCAAATGGGGTGCGTTAATACCTCCTCGATTTTCATGTTCCCGTGCTACATTTTTGAAAATTTTGAATTTTTCAATTCCAGTGAATACCTCCTCGATTTTCATGCTCCCCTGATACTTTCACAAAAGTTTCGAATTTTCAAATTTCAGTGAATACCTCCTCGATTTTCATGCTCCCCTGATACTTTCCCAAAAATTTCGAATTTTCAAATTTCAGTGAATACCTCCTCGATTTTCCTGCTCCCCTGATACTTTCCCAAAAATTTCGAATTTTCCAATTTGAGTGAATACCTCCTCAATTGATGAATTGAACTTAATTGAAGATAAAAGAAAACTAAACTCATCATATGACATCGAATTTCCCATAATCTCGAGTACAACAGATTTGAAAGAATCGCGGAAAACGTTTCACCAATTTTTTCAGAGGATTATTATGGAAATTCTTATGTGCAATTTCACCTAGTAATTTCGTAGCAAATACGGAATACCAGAATGAGGAGTGATAACTTATCCCGATGAAAAACCCTTACAATATCGTAAAAACTGTCACGTATAGTCGTCATATATTACTGTTCTATACCGCATGTTCTTACTGCGTTTCCTACCATCCGGTGCTGAGTTGCAAAGTAGTCTATACGAATGCAGAACAGTGGAGATGTAAAAACGAGAGATATGGATTCAGGAATTCTAGGATTTATGACAAACCTGCATGCATTATTAATTCTAAAATGTGCGGGAACATTTTATCCCCAGCCAATCTATCGAAATAATTAATCCCATCCGGATATAATAAAATCACTAGAACTCTTCAGGTATTTTTCTATATTATCCAAATATCCATAACCGAGGGATAAATTGAACAATTAAGTTCAGTCATTATAAAACCAAATGTTTGAACGTAAAAGAAATTATTCCGTTCCATCAACAAATTGATCATTTATTAATATTTAAACCAGTCATTATTCGAAATTACACTTTAAAGTTCCATTACTTCAACTCCGTTTTTTTATTTTAATTTTTTATTTGAGAGAGCCATCTTTGAAGCATTTCGCAATACATGCGTTATCAGTCGTATTTTGAATTTCCCGCGCTTCTAGAGAATCATGGAAAACCATACACCGGAGATGATAAATAAAAAAATGAGTTAGCTTTTCCACGTGCAATAATAAATCGCACAACGGGGTATTATCGATTATAAAACAATTAATTTTTCTTCCACATGTCTTGGACTTATCGCCAATGGAAATGAAGCCTGAAATAGTTTGAGCATAATGTGAACGTTTGCTCCGAAAATCAGAACGTAAAAGTGACAATTACATTAATTTATCCGTTTTGGTTGATTTATTTTTTTATTAATGTTTAAAATACTCAGGAAAAGTGATGAGTTTCTTTTTTACGTGGAGTTAAATCCGTAGGTTTTGGGGGAGTAATTGAGTTTAGGTTAGAATATCTCTGGGGTAGAAACGTCAAGCAGTTTAGCTCCAAATCTATTCATATCTCCATGTATATGTGGGGAATATTTGACAAAATCTAGTCCCCACCAGTGGGTTAATTCATCACCCAGTTTTCTAAATAGAATACTCGTTCCATTTGGTAATTGAGAGTGCTTTGAACCTCCTGAACACAATGGTGAGTAGTGATTACATTTGTACAGTTGAATTTTTTAAATTTATCAATTAAAATATTCATCTGAGTGATTTATTGGTTGTTTTAATTTGAAAAAATTTATTGTTGTTTTTTGTTATTGTTCTCAGGCGTTTTTAGGGGCTCAGCTGGTGATCACTCTGGTGATGGTCAGTCTCATCCAGAAATTGAGTCCACATTTCTCTTTTGGGCGGTGGATTTTATGTTCCACAGGGTGAGGGATTTATGGAAATTTTTACGTACGACTGCGAAAAATTGATGAGTCTAGCATTAAAATTATTCCTTTTTAGACTCTCGAGGTTCTTGTATCCGACAGATCAAGAGCTGAAAAGTCTCGCTGGAATTCCAAAGGAAAAGCCCAAAAAGGGAAGGCACATGGAGAATGGAAAAACACCTGAGACATTTCACGTTCCTCGGAATCTAGATCTCACTCTTGAGACTGCCCAAGTGTCACAGCTCGATGTTGTGCACTTGAAGTATTATTCTGAGTTTCAGTGGCTGTTGGATTTTTCGGTGTATGCTGCTATTACTTATGCATTGACTGAGGTGATCATTCAATATTTAAAATTTTTTTTTCCATTCTTTAATTCAGAACGTAAATAAGATTTTTGTTGCAGATTTATAATTATTTCTATCCAATTACCGATGAGATTAATCTCAGTATGGTGTGGTGCTCGCTAGTCATTGGATTTGCATTGTATCCTTTTGGAAAAAGATTTTCTCAGAGGATAAAGTTTGAGCTCTTGTAAAATTTTTCTTAATTACGGGTCTAGCAAGATGTTACTAACATTATGGATCCAATACTTCAAGGGGGATGAAAGTGTGGGTGAGAGGTCCACCTGCATCGTAACAGGTTTCGTGTATCTTCTGATAGCTATGGTGATCCTGATTATCGATGAGAATAAACTGGAAATTGGTTTGGATAAGGCGTATGTCAGTTTCAACCACAGTGCCTCGATTTTTCTGGGGAGTCAAGGGCTCTCATCATCTGGACCAGCGTCCCAAATAGTTTTAAAATTTTTTCTCGCTCTTTGGTGTGGATTATTAGGATCTCTCTTCACTTTTCCCGGACTCAGAATGTCCAAGATGCACTGGGACACCATGAGGTATTTATAATGACGTTAATGCTTTCGTAATTAGTTTTTGTAAATCAACTCATGGATTTATTTTGCTTTAGGTATTACAAAGACAGAAAATTTTTGAAATTACTAGTGAATATCAGCTTTGCCTCGCCTTTACTTCTCGTTTGTCTGTGGATTAAACCAATTAGCAGGGATTACTTCAGCGGTAGAATATTCTCGGGAATGGATAAACCACTGTAAGCAAAATTTTCAATGAAATTCGTCAGTTCTTCAGGAAATTTAGTGGTTCCAGTGAATTTATTCATTTATAATTCTGATATTTTTAGAATGACATCAGAGGCATTTGACAGTGCAAGATTTATTGCAATTATTCTCGTTGTTTTACTGAGATTGTCACTGATGCCAGTGTACCTTCAGTCATACCTCAATTTGGCTGAACAGAGATTGGAGAATCAAAAAAGAGAAGCAGGGAGAATAACTAATGTTGAGTTGCAGAAAAAGGTACAATGAAATATTGTCCCGTTATAGTCGCACCTCTCAAATTTTTTTCGCGTATCCTTGGGTTCACCAACACTACTATCTCCGGGCTCCGAGATGTAAACAATCCATTGTCTGATGAGGAATTGAATTCCGAGAAAAATAAAGCGGAAAAATAAATTCCTCTTGTATTCGAATTTGCTATGAGGGAATTCAATTTACTCTTGACCGAATCCGCTTCCCCTACAGCCCTATGGACGCGACTACAACGGGAGTCTACTGTATTGAACATGAATTTTTCAGATATTTTTAACCATAAGATCTTTAAAATTTTGGTTCTGGGTGAGAGCATTTTCGAAATGAAAAATTATTTCTTCAAGCAATCGCCGTTGTTGTTTTTAAAAATATTTTAATATTTCTCTCTAAAATTCTTTTATTATAAAAAAATAGGAAATTCAAGGGAAAAATTGTAAGAAGCCTTGACAACGTCTCAACGAAGACGATTCCATCTTCAACGATTTAAAAACGCTGTAAAACTGAATTTAAATCTAAAAATTCTCACGTCATATCCACTTATTTTTATTCCAGATAGCTGCAGTCTTCTACTACCTGTGTGTAGTAACCCTCCAGTTTCTGGCTCCCTTAATGATGTGTTTATTCTTCTCCCTGATGTACAAAACTCTCGGCGGTTACACCTGGAGGGCGATATTGACCGGAAGTCCCTCGGACGAGTGTTCAATAAATGATCAATCACCACAGCCCTCACTAGAGCTTCCAGACACCGAAAAAACAGTCACTCAAACTGTTGAGGAACTGCACTTAGCTCTGAGCTCTCTCCGTAAAATATTCACAACCGAGGTTTTTAGAGGGATTTTCGGCTTGGCCACATGGTGGTGTTGTTTCACCATCTTCGCTACAAATGCCATGGGAATGTTCTACCAGAGTTACTTCACTAATTCGTAACAACTCCATGGATTATCCAACTCAATCTAAACTTTTATCAGAACTACGAGAAACTATGCTCAATGCGAACGCACATAAATGAGTGATTGAATTTTTTAATTGATAAATAACTTGTGAACGTGTGCATGGAATTTTGCCAAAGAAACTTTTCTCATCTACAGCTCCACAGATGGTGTCGTGTTCATATCGGCATGACAATTCTCAGGCATATAAAACTGCATCAGGATTATCAGATAAGTGGTGATGACTCCGACGAACTGTAAATAAAAAAAATTGACTCAGTCCTTCGAAGTCTTAGAGAGATATCGCGATTCATGTTATCATTTTTTTGGAGGGCTAATATACCGAGAAAGCAAATTCACTCAAAGCTATTGACAGGATCATCTTCGAGAGCGATATAATTTGACTCGAGAAATATCGTAATGAATGATTGTAGATATTTCTAATGCCAAGTAATCACCTGTTATCATCTCATTGAAATCATTTTCTGTCGATTGAGTGGTGTAAATAAATATAAATAATTATGTAAAAAATACTCACATTTGTCAGAAGGTTATTATTCATTGTGAAAAATTCACACGCACTAAATGCGATGCTACAATGGTCCAGTTGGGCTGAGAAATCGTTGATTTCGTTGCGAAGGGCAAGTTCGGGATCCTCAGAGGCTCTCGTTATGTCCACTGAATACAAATCGCAGGGTCTCGGCCCTTTCGGCAGTCTCCTAGAATCAATTAAAAATTATTATCAACAGATTTGCAATATTTTGAGAATCCCCAAGTATTTCCTATAATTTTATGAGGAAAACGAAAAAAAAAAATAAATTAATCTACGAGAGTTTCGAAGATTGGCTCGGAGATTGACTGCTATAAAAATAAAAACTAATTAAGGATACTTCAGGTAAATTTATTCGTGAACCTCCAATTAATTGAAAAATCTACTCGTTAAACCGTAATTTACAACGAGTTACGTAGATATTTTATTGCACAACTGAAAGAAGCGACTTCTTGAACAAGGTATTGTAAAAAGCGAAAATATGCTACAATACCGCGTGATTCATTCACCTGGAAATCGTAAAAAATTAAGTGTCACCTCAGTACAATGTCGTGGATTATAATTCCTGTTTTTGATGACTCCCTGAATGCCCAAGTGCAGATGAAGCAAGTCAATGCAAATTGCGCTGTGTAAGTCAGCCAGATGACGTTGTTTATCATCATAAACTTGTCTATTCCCTCGACTACACCCATATATATCCGGAACAGAGTCGCTACGACCATTGTGAATGAATTGAGAGAGCTCAGGAGAAGATGCACACCGTGGATGCTGTTAATGTACCTCACAAGAGAACAAAGACCTGTAATTTAGGGTTTTATTTCAAATCATTCAGTACCAGATGAATGTATTCTAAATTTCTGGCATCACCAGTAGTTTTTCTGTGGAATTTTTCAAGGCGAATCATAATATCTTTTTTTTTACCATGATGAACATCTCGGGTCTTTCGAATCTCTGCGATGATCCTCCCAGCACTGATCTGCTCTCCACTGCGACGAATCCCTCGATTTATCTCCTTGAATCTCGTGTAAACTCCGAAGACAAGTAAATTAAACTCAAAATTAACACACAGCGACTGACTGATAGTGTGATATAACAGAAGATCGGATGCAAAAATCTCCTCGGGGCGAGTGTACAGGTAGTAAAGGGCATGAGAAATGAGAGATGCCGGGCCTAGGAGACATGTCATGATGATTGTGAAAATTTGAAAACGTCTGATTGATTTATTATTACACTCGAGTCCGCAGTGCATCATTTTTTTGTCGATATTGGCAATTCTCTCCATTAAAATTGGCCACTTTTTGTATTGCACAAGTCCGTGGAATACGTAGTAATACGAGGATATGTAACAAGCAACTTTATTCATGTAGTACATTATCTTGAAAGTGTCACTCTTGAAGACACTCCCGAAGAAGAAGAAGTCGATGGCACCGTATGCCACGATCGACGAGCAAATCCCGAAATTGATAAAACGAAGAAAGAAAGTCGAGAACTTTGAGGACTTCAGGGGTCTTGCGATACCAACACCCAGAATCCATGAAAAAAATGTCGATGGGCGAAGGACTTTCTCCAAGGGTTCTGGTTTGTCTCCATTTTCAAATGTCACTGAGATCAAATCCTCGATCGAAGTCATTATTAACTAATGGAAAATCCAGACAAATCGTTTAATTAATGAAAAATTGACTTTGAGTTCATCAGCAGGATGATTTTCAAATTTTCTACTATGTTCACCTTTCAAACGTCCGAAACACTGGGTGAGTGTCTCTACGTGACACCCCAAATTCATATTTTTCTCATTAAAAAATCATCTGATTTAATTGCGAGTACTCGGCGTGATACCATCTGATGCATGGTAATGAATAAATTCGTATGAATAATTTCACGCCTGCTATGTGATTCAATATTTATCCAGAAAAAAAATGAAGAAAAAATTATTATACTAAATTATCACTCTAAATTATTACGCAACTGAACGTGAATTTGGATAAATAGGGAATAAAGCCCCGGAGCTTGTAATTGTTTCATCTCCATCTGGCTGAACGAATCGATTTGATTCGCTAGTTCGTCTGCAAAAAAATGCGAGGTGAAGCATAACGTGGAGAAAGCTGATGAACAATTTAAGATTGCGTGTCAAGTAATAAGCTGTCATATCCTATCGCATTGAAAGATCTTAAAAGCCCAGAGTGATTTAATTAATTAGCACGTCAACACATGCCATCAGTCAATGTTATTCGTAATAAATTGAGATTATTTTTTTGTGATGTTTCAACACTTTTATCGAAATTAATACAATAATGCACTAACACTAGATTCAATGTTTCTGATTCTCGTGAAAATTCCTCCGGCAGTTTTTTTTTTTGTAACGAGTAGTCCCAGGGTTTTCTCCATTCACGTACAAAATGAATCATTCATCTCGACAATTTCATTGTATCATGTCATGTGAATTCTTATTATCTCCAGGATTACATGATATACTCCATACAAATAACATTATCTATACTTTTATCATCAATATTCTTAACTATATCGTTTCTCTGAATTAAGGCGGTCAGCCTACTTTACTGATTACAATTAGGAAAGCCAATATATAATTGTTGATATTACATCTTACACTCAATTCACTGGTTTTTCACCCCTCGAGGGGTGCGAATGAAAAATTATTCGGGAAAACGAATTTGGTATCATCGATTATTTCATTCACATAACTTCAAAAAGCTCTCTAGCTACAGTAAATGTTGTACATATCAAGGTAATATTTTATCAATTACAGTTTCTGGTAAAATATTCATATAAATAATATTTCAATCGTTTTAACAAGTACTCGGAGCAATTCACCAAAATTTGGACTTTAGTGTGTTCATCGAAATTGTCAGATTGGATTTATTAATTTTAGATTACAAATTGAATCATATGATCGACTCATGAATATCGAAGGGCTTTGAACTTTTCTATCTTTATCTCGTTCTGTCTTCATTTTTACTTGGAAATTGGATTATATTACTATTTTAATTTCTAAATATTAAGAAGCACTTAAGGATTTCGGAAAAGGAATGAAAAAGTCTAATTCTGCAGGAAGATTTACAAAATCATAGAGAAATTTTAATTTTTCATGACTCCGCCTTTTTTTTACGAGATAAAAGTTTAGGATCCTCGATATTTTGTTGGATTGCGTAAGATAAAAGTTGAAAATCTCGAAAATCACGATTGGTATCAATTTTTGGTGAAATGCTCCATTTAAACTCGACATGTATTTTAAAATTTTATCATAACGCGTGAATAAACGATTTGACAATAATCCTGCACGAGACAATGGATTTGTGAGTGGATACATTAGAAAATCAATAGTATGAGCCCCTGTGCGGATTTGTGGGCTTTGGAAATAAATTATCATTCCCTTATTTCAGTAGTTTCGTCGATATTAAAGTAGCTCTACCCACAAGGCAAATTGTACTGTGCAATTTAATGCAATTTTCTTCTTAATTCAATTACCGTTTTTAATTTTCTCCGGGTCTTACGTATAAATTAATATTTCCATTATAATCAACAAATTCATCACTCCCTAATAAAAAATAATTCAACTTTTTAATTATTTGGTAGTTAATATGGTATATTATTTATTTCTATTATTTCCAATTGTTTATTCGGTTTTAGGGGATAGATATGAATTTTTTTTTCCAAATATTCTCACGAAATTTAATTGGGCAGAGCTACTTCGAATCATCAAGGTGATAAATTTTTACACCTGAGATGCAATTCTCGTGGTCAACTGGATATTTTGAGTAGAATTGATATATTTTTTTTCGAGTTAATTGGGATTGGTTGAACTGAGTATTGAGCGACGATAAATCTAAGAAATTGAGTGACCGGTTGAATTTCACTCGTGGGTTATGACTCGAAAATGTCCACTACACTGGAACAATTGGCGGCTGTCTCTTTTTTAAAGGCGGATGTGCACGCGGGACCAGTAAAGGCCGTTTCACTTGCTCTCATCGAACGGTGCACTGTCAACGATGTTGATGCTAGGGACGATGATCTGTGATTGCTCACGGATGATTTATGAGGTATTATTCGTGATACCGATGGCATTTCCGATGCCACCACCGTTAATATCTCCTGAAATAAATTTTTCATTTATTTTTACAACGATTTCTTCATCAATCAAGGCACTGACGAAAGAAATTATTTTTACTAAATATTTATCACGTCCAGAGAAATATTTATATTCATTCATTTCGGATAGGTTTATTTGCAAAATTGTAAATGCTTTTTTTTTATTTTAATATACGGTTGGAAAGTTACACAAATTTCAATTTTTGCAAATTGAAGTTTGTAACGAGAACGTGACTTCATTGGATCAGTTAATTTCTTGAATATTCTGATAATTTTTAATTTTCAGGTCCACATGACATAATTGAGTTAGAAATTCAATTGTATCGTATTTTAAATTTTTATGATGAGCATGAAAATTCAAGCGTGCATTCAACCTGAAAACGGCAATTTTCGCAAATTTAAAAAATGAAAAATGAATAAATTGTGTGACGATGTTGAATTGAAATTAAATAAAAATTCATATAATGGCAAATGCTGCTGACTTTGTGATTGAGATTTCAAGGGATTTCCAACGATGTAATGACCGAGCGATTTCACTCAAAGTTATAATTGTCGGGATCATCTTCACAAGCGATATAATCGAAAACTAATGGAAATGGAGAAAACTTGGAGAGAGACTCGACTGGAGAAAAACATAACATGAAATAAATGATTAAATACTTCTCTCTCATGGATGTTTGAGAAAAATCAATTATTTAATGAATATAGTAACTGAAGTTAATGACGAAAGTACCTCTCGGCTCTCTTCAACCGCTGGCAATAATTCATCAGTCGAATGAGGTGTCCTTGGACTGGGTGTCGGTTGCGTCTGCATCTGCTGCATTTGCGAATCCTGTTCCCTCTGTCTAGCTAATCTCAATTCCTGGAGTGCCAGCCTCTGCTCCTTCTCATTCCTCTCTTTCTCGAGTCTTCTGGCACTGTAACTTCTCGCTGATGACGTTGAGCTGTGTATCGACGCCAAACTTGGACGTCGTGAACCTGTCCCAGGAGAAAGTAATCTGTTATTGTAATGCGAGAAAGGTGCGGTGTGCTGCATACAGAATGCACGCGCGTGCCGCAATGATCAAATAAAACGAAGAGAGAAAATAAAAATTGAAATATATCAAATCCCAACATCATTTCGCAGTCATGCGGCTGCACCCACGCATATTTTATCGTTTTCTCTCACATCACTTTGTGTTATTTTTCAGGTGTTGCAAGTTGTGACTCATGAAAGCTATGGACTTCCGGCTCTGTAACGGCTCTCAATGCCCACCCCACCCTCATTGACATAGTGGATAACATGTGTATCATGTGCTGGGAATATCAAGTATCGTGACGTGCTGGAGATATAAGCCGTTTTTACCGTCATTTTTTCGTCGTTGAGAAATCAAATTTATTTTTTTTTTTTTTGAGAATATGAGAATTTTTTTACCCAGTTGTAGCACAGAAGCTCCATTTTTCAATGAATTTTCCTCGATAATCTGTTGGAATCGATTCTGTGGGAATGTTTATGATGAATTCATTGAAAAATATATCTCGGGACTTCAGGAAAAAAAACCATGAGATGACCATAATTTTCACTATTTTCTAAAAATAAATTTATTTATTTGGCAAGTGAAACTTTTCTTTTCTCAAATCTTCTCTCTGAATCGGAGGATATATAGAATTCGATTGATCTTCGACGAATTTTCCCAAAACTTTTAGGACAATCTTGATAAATAATCATTAAAAAAATGTAAGCCGGTTAATTCTGGTGAACTGTGTACCCAAAGTAATGAATAATGAAAATAACGCCTCAGCAAATTTCAAGTGATCTCGTTCATGATCGGTTTTAAGAGAATACACCTAGAAACAATGTGTTGCATATCAAACAGATGATTAAGCATGCATTTACCCCAGAGTGCAGCGAGTTAGCTATGAGTGCATGATTTATCGGTGCTTCTTACCAACTTGAACTTTTTCGCTTACACAAGCAGCACTATTGTTATTGTTGTTAAACTGTAACCGGCCGCTGCCATCTTGCTGACTCGTTAGAACGTGGATTCGGTTATATCATGTTTTTTTTTTGTGTTTACTTATCTTGACGACAGAATATGAAACACGCGCATTGTGATAACAATTTCTACGTTTCCACTCCTGACGGATCTTATTCCACCTTTTTGTTATTATTGGTGATATTTTCAAATTTTATTCAATTGTCCATTGTAAGACAAAATTTTTCAAACTTTTTTACTTCTCGGAATAATTCTCATTTCGTTGAATGCTTCAAAACAATTATTGCATTCCATTTTCTTTCTGGTTATAATGCATTGGAGAGAATTGGATTTATTTATAAACGGCGGGGGATACAATTTGAAAATATCAGGATAATGTTTATCAACTTTTAATTAGAAAATTCTGGGGGAATATGGACACATAAAAAGTGTTTTTGATTTTTGACTTTTTCTTATATTCAAATGACCATCAATTAATAAATAAAATATTTAGGAATTGTTCTATTAACAGACTGTCGATTCCGATTTTTTAAAAATTCAATGAAAATATAAAAAAACGCGAATAAAAACTAAACGGTAATAATAATACAGATCAATTTATTAAACAATAAAAAGAATGAATTTTTCGAGAACATCAATGTAATATTGAATCTGATGATAATTCAATGATTTTCTAAACGGTTATAATTTTAGATAGTTATTCTGTGATCTGGGAAAGATATTCGACTGTTGATTGGTGCTACACCGACTTAAATACAAACATGTCCATATTACCCTGCACTATGTTAAATAAAAATAGTTAATGTTGAAAGAAATACTTTGTATGAGTTGGAGAAGTAGATTGAGTAGTTAAAGCCGTGCGTGGTAAGACCAGACTCGAGAATGGAAACGTGAAACTTTCATATCAGATAGAAGTAATACTAATATGTTGGAGAAACAAAGTATCAAAGTTTAAGAAGGTGTGGGTTTCGGATATTGTTTCAGTGAACATTGTTCGAGTTTTTGAATTATGAAGTAGGTACAACGACAAACAGCACAGAACGGCACAACAAATTTTGTTGATTCTAACAGAAGGAGTAGAATCTGGGTTATTCAGCAAGCACCCAAAACAACAGAAACAGATAGGGAGAAGGAAACCTGAGCTTTTCCACGAGCACACAGAGAGAAATCATTAACCGCTAATTTAGAGTATTGTTTTTCCCTCTTCGTTAAGAACAACATTTCCGGTTTGCGAGCGAAACTGAGAATCGTTCTTCCTTCAATTTGGATTAACATTCATGAATTTGTTATTGCACTGCAGTCGGATTAATTTACTACAAAATAGAGAAATATATTCTTTCAGGGGATTTTTTTTAATGTAAAAAATAAATGTCAAAGTTCACGTCAAATACTTCTCATTCCGTAAATTTAGTATAAAATTTTTACGACTATTAGGTCGTACTTTTCAATAATATCTGAAAGCTCGCAGACGGTCCTTGGGAGAATTAAAATCAATGTTCTCAAGGGCATAAATATCATGCTTTCATGTGAATCCCATTTGACCCTAGAAGACTGAACATTCGGTAATGATTTTACATGTAAAATTGATTCTTCATTGTCAACTGCGAGAAAATATCCGGAAATCGAGAAAAAGCTGCGAGACATCACTATCTGGGAAAGACTGCAGACAATTTTTGTCAATCAAAATTGTTTATATTAAAAGATTTATCAAAAATCCGCGATAAAAAAATATGAACAAATTTCAGAAACAAAAATAATAAATATAAATAATATAATAATTCATTTCGATTCAGTATAAACATATTATAAAATAAATAAAACAGATAAGCCATATTAAATACAAATATAAAAACTACACTATTTACAAAAATAAGGAGTAAATAATAATTTTTTCGGAGAAACTAAATATACAAAAGAATAAAATTTCCGATAATTGGAATAATTTGTATAATTCAGTGATAAATTTCATGACTGAAATTGAGAGGTACTCCAATGCTCCTAATTTGAGGAAAATTATCTCTCTGGGAAGAAATAAAAATAGAAGGGAGGAACATCGATAATTTTGATGTTGCGTTTGTTTTTTTCGCAATTCTGCAATTTTTTTTTCGTCTACCGAGGCCGTTGGATCCTTCGGCAACGTCGCTAAGGGTACGTCGGTGCTTTTTTCCTTTGGCCGCTGCCTGTAGGTGACACGAAATAAGCAAGATGGCGGCGGCACGTGCCGCACCTGCACGCGATGCTGGAACCAGTGGTCCACGACTTCCACCGCTGCTTGGTCTCCTTGTAAAAGCTCCACAGGTCAATGGGCCGTCACTACTGCGTTGACTTGAACGCGATGAGGGCCTTCCTGACAGCGTCAATGGTATACCTAGGGATTTAACTCCATTAAAGCCACTAAATTTATTGCATCCTGCATTCAAATCTCCCACTCCGAACATGAACTTTGAGGATTACCCTAAAACTTGTCTTGGAACTATTTACATATGGATAAATCTATCCATTTATTATTGATGTCTTGAGAATAGTGGAACTGATATTTATAGTTGTCACTGATTTTTGCATGAATTTATGAGTTTTCGGTATGAAAATTCGGGATTCGAGTGGAATTTTATCAACGATGTTCAGAAATTATAATGAACGAGACCTACTGCGCAGTCCACCTGCTGAATTTGAATTTGGCGGTTCGAGTTGAATAATTCATTTTGGAAATATTTGGTAATGATGAAATTTGAGGAAGAAAAGAGTTTAGAAGTTATGAGAGCACTTTTTACAAATGTTTTTACAAATTTTCAATGAATAAAGGGTAAAATCAATCATAAAAAGTGAACAGACCTGCATCATTGCTGAATAACATCGGTGGGGTATGATGGGCATTGGCATAATGCCTGGGCTCTGAGTACCTGGCTCTGCTGAATAACTTTAATACGAAGCAAATCAGTCCCGTGAGCACCGCTATACCCGACGCTACACCAAGAAGAGTAGCGAGGTCAGTCTTTATCAGCACGAGATCTGAAACGAAACGTTCGGTATCATGCATTATACTCATGATCAAAAGAAGATACTCAAATAGCCATCTTGCAGATGATCCATTGATAATCCTATCAATTTTTTCTAAGGACATTCAACATTGTGAAATCGCGTAATTGAAAAATCAACTACTCCATTTTATTTACTCCATATTTTACCCTCATTTTTTAAATTCAATTATTTCGTGAAAATTGTCTGAAAATCAAGGAAATTCAGGAATTTATTGGAAACTGATGGATTTATTTGGCTTCCATTTAATTACAAATTCAATTTCAAAATTCATCCGATTTATAATTTTTTGGATTTTTTAGCATGAAATTAGCGGGGATTGCGAAAAAAGTATTTTCTCAATTATATTTACGCAAGAAAATATATTTGGAAAAAGAAATTTTCGATCTCAGTGCGACATTTAGGGAGGAAGAGAAATGTTTGAGGGAAAAACTAAAAAAATTCGTTCAATTCGATTGATAGATGATCCGGTAATGAAGGTGAATGAATTTATTCGTGAATGTGACGTACCTTCGGCACAGAATATTTTCTTTGTTGGTCTTGAGAGAACAACCCTGTGATAGCCAGTATCGCAATCGCATATGGCATTGTGTTGTACCTGCGTGCACGTTGCGTGCTGGTCGACGAACTCGCAGGTTGCCCGATAGAAACATTGTTCCCCGAGTTTTTTGGCTGTATAAAAAATATCATCGAGAAATAATCACTAAATCCACGAAGACAAATTCAAAATCCAATTTGAAAAATTCCACTAGAATTCCAAATGCTCTAAATGAAATTCCGTGAAGAATAACGCAGCACGGGAAAAAGTATACTTGAATTAAGTATACTTGATCATTTTTTCAAAGTATATTTTATACTCGATCCTAGTATATCGGTGAAATCAATGCAAAATCGATTGTTCCAGGATTTTTATATTTAGTATTAATGCGGTAAATAGTTAAATAAAGGTAAATAAAGATTTGTCTTCGATAAATATCCAACAAGTACTTATTTTGAATATATTAATATACTTATTTTAAATATAATGTATAGACTTAGATCAAGTATTAAATATCCTTGATTCCAGTATTTTCGTTCGTCTGAGCGAATCAAAAATTTTCCACTGAACACTCAAAAAATTGCCGGTTTATTCGGTAATTTTCCACAGGAAGATTCCCCCAGTAATAATCTATTTTGAATTTTCGAATATTTGAGTATTTTGGAAATGTTTAAAAAAAGGAATTCTTTATTTTTAATTCACTAAAAATTCTTTCAATCAAAATGTCTGGTTTTCCATTCCACTAAAAATGAATGAATTGAATCACTAATTTATTGTTCTTTTCTCCATTTTTGATACAATTTGGTTTAGAAATATTGGTGATATTAATGAAATATAATATAATAGTAATAGGAAAAAGTTGTGTATTGAGTGGTGAAACAAAGAATTTTCAATGGAATAAAACGCTTTGTTCCAGCTATTTCGATTTAATTAAAGCTCACGTTTAGCACAGCCCTTTGTGGGTCCAAGCTGGACTGGAAAATTCTTTTCACACTCGCATTTACCGGTGACTGTGTCGCAAACAACATGTTGTAGATTTGAGCTGCACGTGTCGTCGCAGATGGAGCCCAGAAATCGCCCCTTCTCTGCAATCCAATCAATCAAATCAGCCTCGTCCCCATTCCCTTAATTAATCCAACAAAAGTCTCCGCATAATTGATAATGCGAGCTATAAAAATTCAATATTCAAGGTTCGATTGACCGCAATAATTTCCACATGCAGATTGTCTTGATGATGTTTTTGTTGAATATCAACAATGTGGTGGGCAATTAAAATCAATAGGTATACGCCGGCTAGACCATTTACGCCGCATTGTTGACTTTAATAATACGTACAAAAATCATGCGCCCTAAATTCCCCAGAATAATTGAATCCATTCGACCGTTAAATCGTCGATTAATTTAACAAAACCCTTTAGAATTTTTAATTGCTATCAAGGGTATTACCCTCTCCACCAACATTCACCTTGTTTTTCATTTTCCTGGCAAATAATTGATGGGATTGACGTGAAAAAATGTACATTTTTAAATTTTTTAATTTAATTTTCACAGAGGAGAATGCTCGCACCTTGAAACTTTGCGAATGATTAAATAATTATAAAGTGCCAAGTCCTTTTTTTATGTTAATACCATCGAGAATTTACCAAGAGAAATTGAAAAAAACGTTAATTTAGGAGGAAAGAGCGAATATCCTTAAAAATTCAGGGTAATGAATACCAAAAATGACTTTAATTGAATATCAGTGGCTGGAGCGCCCTCGAATTGGGGGTGAATCATGCTGAAGTACTTGAAAAGATGTGCAGATAGGGCATGCACTAGTAGTCGAGTTGCATGCAGGACATTTCAAGGGGATAGTATATCGTTACGACAAGATGACTGCGCACATGTCACCCCGATAGCCTCAATACTCCACAATTAAAAACACAAGAATTATTTCGAGAATGCCACACGTGCTGAAAGTATCTGACACATTTAATAAAATATCTCATCTTTAATTAATATCCAGGACCTATCCCCAAAAATATTCAATAGTATATCAACAAATATCTGAGATATTTGCTCTAGCCCATATTACACATATTTATTGATTAATATTATTAATTTTTTCATTGAGGAATCTCGGAAATTTTTGACGTGCACTTTCCTTGAAATTTCAGAAAACATTCTCATTAAAAAATCACGAAGATTTAAAATTAATCAATAATTATCGTTGTATAATTACTATTTTGTTTGTAATTAATTAATATTTATTTTCAGCGGTGACTCCGAAGGCCGTTAGGGATTGCAATCGTTTCGTTATAGGATTTTTCAAAATTGAATGCAGATTGGATTTATGAATAATTAAGTACTAATTCGTTTGGAATGTTTTTGAGGAAAGTATTATCTCGTCTGGTATCGTTATCCGCTAAAAGCAAGGGACATTCAGGTCGTTCACATCCGACTTGTGTCGCCATATCGAGCACTGGAGTTGTAGCACGTGAGATAGTGGACAAAATACATAATGTCACGCGATAGTAAAACCGCCCTGAAGTTCCTTTAACTTTCTCATTTCCCAATTAGACACTATTTTTCACCCCCAAATAGATCTTCACCATTTCTTAATGCTCACATTTTTTTTATCACTCAATTCACGTGGAAAATTGAATTCATCCTGTGCAATACACTGTTCATTATTTCGGTCCCAATTTGCAGGGCGGAATTCTAGAAATATTTGTCATGTTTAATTGCCATTAGAATTTCGGAAAACCTGATAAACCATAGACTTTTTTTCCTGTTTAAATGATCGGAAAATCAATAAAATAATGAATTTTTCAATTCAATTTAAATTTCAAGTTTCACCGACAATTCAGTAGAATTCCAGAATTCCCCGATTTTTTAGCCACGTCATTCAATAACACCATCACCTAAATTTCTATTGTTCTATTCTCTCATTAATTAATTTTCTACTCATCAATAAAATCAAAAATTCACCGTACCCTTAAATTTCTCCGAAACCCTACCTATCGAAAAACAAGATGCTCTGAAATTTCATGAGAAAACCACCACTCAAAAAATGTTATTAATCCGAATTTACCAGGACTCTCTCTCCTTGGAAGTTGAATAGAAAAATAATATTAGCGCCAGTCAAATTTCCTACCTTGCATAATCGACGTTGGATATATTTGATTGTCGATACCTCCCGGCGGAATTAGACGTAATAATTGATGAATTACCAGTGGAATTTGCCTGAAGATAGTCCTCGCCGTCATAGGATAGATCCTCATCGTACAGAGCCTCCTGATCCCTCCGCACGGTAACTCTCCGTGGCCGCTGCCTCCCCCCGTGAAAATCTCCATGACCCGTTAACAAACTGTTATTATCACTATCAACAATATCACGTGTCTCAACGTAACTGAATTTAAATAGTATAACAATAAATGTCAACCAGCACCAACAACAGCAGGTGAATCTAAGGGCAAAGGGAATAGCGCTCATCGCCCCCGCGGCGCGAGTCTACCCCCGTAACCGAGCATCCGCGGCGCATCGACATCTCTTTCCCACTCCTCTGTACCGGCTCCCCATCAGTTACCCCAACGTCGCCTTCCCAACACAAACATAAACGCACCTTTCACCACTACACATTTATCCAATCCACCAGCAATAATAACTGAGCACCACCAGCTCCAGCAACACCACCCCATCCAAAGCTACACACATACTAAGGGGAATCCCACGAGACCATTATCCTACAGCGCTTGTGCCACAACAGCGCCATCAACCGGTTCGACCCCAAAATATACTCTGCCCAAAGTCCATCCACCCCGTCACTGGTGCGCATCTACCCTTTACCACCATCCCTCATCCCCGCGACCTACATTACGGAACACCGTGGCAGATCGATGTTTCCGTGTGGAAGAGAAAACCAACGGAGATGGTGATCTTTACAGATCATTTTCTCCATCCCTCCATTCTACCCCACTCTTCATCCCTCGAAATCTATCCGTCATCGCGCTAACTAATCATCAATTAACGTTTTTTTTTCACTTTATTCACATTAAGCAAAGTGGTTTTTTCATTTTAAATATACGGCTGGAAAAGTCGGTGTGGAATTTTAGGGAACAGAACTTATGAGTTTTCATCCTCCAATAGATCATCGACATGCTTAATTTATTCATTTTTAATTGAAGTTTCAATAAATTTGGGCATTAACAAAACGAAAATTATTTTCTGTCTAAGAGATGAAACAATTAATAAAGTATCGGACTTTTCAATTCAATTAAAATCCCAGGATTCAGTGACTATTTCGTAAATCAACAACAAGCAATGAAATCCTTCCTTTGATATTTATTTCAGAAAAGATCCAGTTTCAATTACACTGTTGAATAATTAATTGCGCGTGCTCCCAACAAATTCACCTTTGGCTTTAGTAATTGGGGATGCACCGCTGGCTGCCCTTGACACTTCTATCTTTAACATACCCAGGATTACAGAGGCAGCGGTTTGGCGCTGAACACGAGCCATTGGGACAGCCGCCAGGACAGGATGGGATGCAGTGTGTCCTGGATGGGTCGAGAGGATCTTGCTCGTAACCAGGATTACAGCTGCAGATATTATACCCCATGCAGACACCGTTGACGCAGGGCCTGTCGCAGTGAACGTTGCCGTAATTTCCTTGAGTGTAGTCCCCACTACCAGGCTGATACCCTCCAGATGGATTATAATTTCCTGGATATGGTTGGTAGCCTCCAGTCTGGTTGTTGCTCCCTGGACGTTTGTAACCACCTGAGCCAGGTTGATAGCCTCCCACTGGAACGCATCTGTTGGTCTGTTGGTCCATTGTCAATCCTGGATTGCAGACGCACAGATTTGGAGCAACGCAGCCAGCATTCGCTGGACAGCCTCTTGGGCACAGGGTCATATCCGGTGTACAGTAATTCGCCAGATTCTTGATGTACCCTATGTTGCAGACACACATTCCTGGAGAGATGCACTGGCCATTGTCACATCCCAGGGGTTGACAATCAGGTCTACACGTTTCACGATCACCAGGTGGATTGGTATACCTGTGAAAGACAGGGGCTTATTATCTCCTGCTGTTTAGTAGTTTAGAGAATTTTATTTCATTTTTCCAAATAAGTACGAACCCAGGGTAACAGGAGCAAACTCCAGGAGCTTTACACTCCCCGTGTGGACATCCACCCTCGCAAACGGCGTCACACCTCTGGAGCTGTTGATTCAAAATATAACCAGGTCTGCACTGGCATACCTTCGGTGCAACGCAGTCGCCATTAATACAGCCACCAGGACAAATAGGCTTACACTCGCCATTGGGTAATTTCTCCCATCCAAGTTTGCAGTCGCAATAGTCGGGGGCGAAGCAGTAGGCATTTACTGGGCATGGATTTCTGCAGAAAGGTTTGCAAATCCCCTCGGAGGCAATCCATCCGCTCTCGCAGGTACAGACTCCACGGACACAAGAACCACCGAAGCATCCACCTACACAGCTGTTGGATCCAGATTCGCATCGCCCTGTGGCTGGATTTTTTCGATAACCCTCACAGCAATCCAGCACTGTCACATAGCCATTGCTCAATGAATCATTCCAATTCTGAAAGATATATTAATATCGATAATAATATAGATAGATAATATATTTTATAGATATATAATAAATATATTTACTATATATCTGTCTAATTCAGTTTTATCCATATATTGATTCTATATTCACATTTTATTTTATATAACTGTTTTTTACTTAAAAAAATGTCGGAGTAAAACTTTCTTCCGGGCAAATGGGTAAATGAATTCAACTATAAATATTTCTCCGTATGTGAAAAAGAAACTTGTTTCTTACCGGTCTGGCAGGTTGCCCATATCCGGCTGGTGCATACGTTGCATTGTTATTGTATAGAGATAATGCCTCGTGATATCTGAAATCAGAGTACTGTCTCTCAAGTGGCATATGACTAGAATTTTGTCCGACTATTTTCCCTTCAATCCTCCCCCCGAGTATCGATACTAGTTTTTTTTCTGCATTGCAACTTTAAAGGTCGAGGTCAAAAGCTATGATATCATCTCGTGCTTCAGGCGTAATATGACCCGATCCATTCACTCATGTAGATAAATTATTTGTACTGAGCCTCAGGATTAATTGTGTTATTAATTTTTCTTCGATCCGTATTGATTTGCGGTACCCTGATAAAAAGTGTTTGTCAAGAAAATGTTCAAAGCTGGGAATTCTATTCGCGAATTTGTTAAATTATTGTATTCTCACAATGTTTATGTCATATTTACGTGGAGTTTACATTCTCCTTATTTGTCTGTCCTGCATATTATGTAACGCAGTCAGTGCGGTAGCGAATAGTGAATGTGATTCATATCTATTATTGGATATTACTAATACATTATTTTTAATTGATGAATTATCTACGATTTTTTCTCTTTATCAATAATCAATAATCCCAAATTATTATTAATGTCAGATTCCATCAACACCTGTGGAAAATTCAATTCAATGAAAAAAGGATCATCCTCATTATTTTTTTACACATTATAAAAATTGAAAGATCAATCATAATAATATCCTGAATTCTGCCAATAATCAATGTTTTTTTTATATACCATGAGTTGGAAAAATAAACAAAAGTCGAGGGGTTTAAACAAAAATTAGTGGAAAGAATCGAGTTTTTTTTTTAATATAAAGAGAATGTAGAAATAGTGGAATTGAAATTTTTATGAAGAGAAATGAGGGAAAGATCGAATGACATACAATGGAATCGCGGGATTCTGTGAGCTCCTGTTATTTTAAAAAACCTTTTGACATTTGAATAATGGGGGATGATTCGTTTGAAATGTTTGGCGTGTCTTGGTGAAGTACTGAATGGATCCATCGGACTTTATTCACTCACGGAATCCTTTTGTAGCAGTATCCTGCCTCGTTGTGAGTCTGCTGATAAGGACCTCCCTTTACATTTTGTGCAGACGCGAAGAATACGCCTACCAGCAGAAATACGAGAACATGAAGCTGCTTGAGGACCATCTTTCCTTGTTGAATGCCTCTTACTCACTGAGCACTTGTCTTCACTGACTTCTTGATTACATAAACTTTGGTGTGTCACTGCAGGTCAGCTGATTAGAATTTGTGGAAAATACGTTTGATTATCAGTGTGTATTTACGATTTAGCTTGACCGAGATGTGAATAAAAAAATATTATTTGACCCTCGTACACTGTGGCACTGTTACCATTTTCTTTAATGCGTAGGAGCTAATCAGATTAATGCATCGCAGAACTTGTTTCTTCAGATGCTATTGCCATTCGTCGTTTCCAGGTCAATATCAATTCTCGTTGTGAGAAATAATTGTTCTGTTTCGTGGGAGAAACTCCGGTAAATTTATTTTGAAGGGCTGAAGGACTAAGAAATTATTACAATATTTTTATTCGCAATTTTTCTTCGCAATGTACGGAAAAGTCACTTTTCGACGCATCATGATGAAAAATAAATTTCTGACGTATTAGAATTTGTTATGAAAAAAATCAGTTTTAAGTGGCAACGGGCACGTGATGGGGGTAGTTGCATAGAGTCGTATTATCCGACTTCCCTTCCCCTACAGCCCCGTGAGTATAACGACACTCGGCTATAGTCGTGTGGTCATTGAGAAAAATTGTTGATTTTATTAGAAATCCATTCGTGTATAAATTGATCACTCGGTGACTCATCTCTACTACTGGAGATTATGGAGTGCGTAAGGACAAATTATGCTAGTGCGAAATGACGTCAATTACACATTTAAAAATACCTTGATTTATTATTAATTATCGTACAAAAATCACTCCGTAAGAGTAAAAATAATTCAATTGAAATCTGAGTGATAAAGAGAGATGAGGAAAATCGATTTTTCCTGTGATAATTTGAAGAATTCGCAAGTTCTTGAGATTTTAACAAGATAATTGTCAAACTTCAGTTCACCATGTATTGAATTAATTCAGACGATTGTTGGCATGAATGATGATGGCCTTGGTGTAGTTCACTTCAACAAGTCATGGTTGTTGCTTTCAAAATTGATAGACTGCAGCGGAATCTCGTCGTAAAGATGTTCGGCCTCATCACTTGGTGCTTGTCGAAAGGTGTTAATTGCTGGTGGACGATCGTAATGTGCTTCCATGAGTTCTGTAATCCGAAGTAATCCAATGAATACTACGAAACCAATTACATAAAGCCCAGATTGCACTTTCGCTGTGAATTCGTAAACTAGGATAAACGATCAGCCCAAATTATGGCTCAATATCTCCTTAATGAAGAGAGATAGCGAAATTTTGTTGTAGATGGTTTTTTTAGAGTACTTACTGCTCTATTAAAAAGATAATAATGAAAATTCCTGTATCTCTCTTCGTTTACGAGATAATAAATAAATGACGTGAATGACTCGCCAGATGACATGCAGCAATTCTGCATTATCAATTCACTCCAGAATTGTCTTTCAATGCGACAAGTTGGAATTATGCTAGTGCGAAATGGCAAGTTTCCAAGATCTTGGAGAAGGCGGTCCTCGTTTTCCTCATTTCAAAACTTTCCAATATACTGATAGTAATCTCAACGGTCATGTAAATCTGCAGGAAGCTAGTGATATGTTATTTCCGACTTCATTTCGTTGTTCTATTTTGAAATTTTTTATTCTCCGGTGGAAAGAGAAGGAATGAACGGCTTAAAATTTTTGTAATACGAAAAATAAAATATTCTTCAACAATGGGGGGTCTTGGGCGATTTTAAATGTGTTGACCACTTGCTGGGTAAACAACGATACGAAATAGTTAATAATTTGTGGATTCATGGTCATATCAGTGGAGAATTTAAAAAAATAGACGTAAAAGAGAGCGACTGACGTCAGATAGACGTACGGTAAGTCATTGGTTTTTATTTTGTTACTCATCTGCGAAATAAAGGGTTCTTTTAATTTATCCGAATCCAATGTAATTATTTTTTATGACGTCATGATGATGAACACTGTATAAATTTTCTGCTTTACCCAATCCTGAAGTTAATTTTCACGAAATTTATTTATGGAAAAAAAGACATTGAGAGGTGCAACTATAACGGGATTCTACTGTTCGCGAAATGGAAAATGAATATTAGTTACTGAAATTATTGAAACTAGAGGAAAATTGTTGAAAATTTTAGGTCTTTCACTCACCTCTCAGGCTGTTAAAAAGTTGTATATTCGGGTATTGATTTGAATAAGTAGATTCTCTGGTCACCACACTATTTGGTCTGGGCAGTGTTCTCGATCCTTGTGGAACAATACATCTCGGTGTCTCTGCCAAAAAAATCTGTTATCAAATATATATAAACAAACTTTCCTTAATCTCTGTAAAAATATGTGTATGCCTCATGGGAAAAGCCCGAACTTTCGAAACCCATCCGATGCATTCCCTTGGGACACCTCAATTGAGAAATTAATTTTGTTATTACCGGATGCCTGTAATTTACCAATCGTTCGGATAATCTTTTCCGTCCAAAGTCGATACGTAGCGACAGGCTACTAAAACATTAGGATGTAATGAAAAGATAATTCGATATTTGGAAAATTCAATTTTCTGAAAGAAAAAATGCGAGAAAATCGATTTTTCTATACAGTTCATACTATTGAGATATTTTCCCTGTGAAATTTCCCTAGTTAAAATTTTATGATTAGATGATTTCTCTTCTCTTTTAATTTATTTTCATTTAAAGATACAATAAAAAAATACCGTAGTCACATGGAGTCAGTGTTGCAGTGCGATTTATGGTTGAGATTCCGGGATTTCCTTTTTCACGAGGTAGTGTCGCTGATCTTGGGTCTGGCTTTTCGGTGTCGTAAATTGAGAGACGAATGGTCTCGAAGAGTTTTGTACGTACGTGAAGTATTGCCAGTACAGCAAGGGTTGTTAAGCCCAGAGATATTATCGAACCGATCACTACTGCAACAGCAACATCCAGAGTCAGGGGAACGGTGTGACGTGATATGTGATCTAAAAACAAAATTATGCACTCGGGAAATTGAAAAGCTCCAGCATATATTCAAATAATAGTCTAAATTACAATTAATAATTAATATTCGGTAATATTATTATTGAATAAAATTAGAGCGATCATCGTTAGTATGAATAATATCTTAAAAAAATTCGTATTACTTTGAATTCTTTTTTGGTTTCTTCCATTGAAACCAAAAACTTCACCTCAAATAAATATACCTGGACTAATGTTCGGCGTAACAAGTATTTGTTCTCTACTCGAAGTAGCTTTACCAACACGTACAACAGCAACAATTGGTCTTACTGTAGACTCCTCTGTCTCTGGTAAATGCACCTCATGGTATTCAGTAATTATCGTTGTCTCAACCGTGGAATCCAGGGCAATTTCGTTGCGGCTGTTGCTCGTTCCACTGTTATCTTTGAATATAAACAAAAAAAACACTATTGAATTATGAATGCAAAGGTTTGATATTGCATTAGCATTTGAGAAAGTATTATTCACGATGTTTTATTGTTGTTGCGCCAGGAAAATCATCGCCGATGGCTTGAGGGTGTTTCATCGTCGACGTGGTACCGTCGATAGCTGATGTAGGTGATGATGGCAAAGTGGACGCCTCAAGCCTAGAATCCGTCCAATTGCTCATCCCTGACGTGATCGATACTAAATCAAGACAGTTTCCTGTCACATGATGACAGTTTCCGTTCAAATGCCCGCAGGGGCAATCCATTGAACATTTCGGACCATATTTTCCCACCTCACAGGGATCTGTACAACTGCAGAAATATTTTCACGTCTTCAACTTTCATTTTAATGAGTATAAATGAGAATTGAAATTTAATTAATGCAATTGGAGCTCAACTGGCCTCCATCACCTCCAATTAAGTGAATTTAAAGGAAAAATTTGTTATTTGTGTTGCGTAATGAGTGGCTTTACATCACCTGTCAAAATTCATTGAGGGGATATTAATTGCATGCATGAACGAAGCAGGAAATATATTCTATTAGCTATTTATACTTCCGAGAAGTGGTGATAAATATTCATCAAATGACCGACATTGGGACGATCGTGTTTAATGGACTTTACGAGATCTACAAGTGGTTTTTAGTTTTATTATCGATTTTTCAGATAAGGAGCTGTATTTTTTTTTAATCGTGCTGGATTGCTGTCAATTAACTTACTCTGAACCTCTCCATCCTTCTGGACAATCACAGTGGCCAGTGGTCCTATTACAGGTCCTGTTTGCTCCACATCTACATGAATGCATACATAGGATACCCCAGGAACCCTCTGGACACTCTGTAACACAAGAAAATCAGTGGCTCAGGTTCAGTACCGAAAATCCGCTGATTCGGTCGATACCAGTCTGAGATCCTCAACATAACTATATAAACAAATTAATCAAAGAAATTTGATAAACTGATTCCATCTATTTAATAAATTCATTAAATATTCAATAAATTCCGTGTAATTAGTTTGGGTTTTGAATATTCATGGAGTAACTCAACTAAAATTAGCAATTAGCAATTTGCATTTATTTATTCAAAATATGAGAATTTATTTTCATTTTACGTACGTGGAGAAAAATTCTCAACGAATTACGGTACTAATCTAAATTTTTAATTTAGCTCGACGTAATTATTAGTGGACATTCACGGAATTATCACGTAATTTCTCGTGATTTCTTTTTTCGTTCATCTTTTTATTTGAATAAAAAAACGAAGAGTAGGGAATTTCATAGGGGGAATTCCTCTGTCATAAAATGAATCACACTGCAATGTCAAAACAAGTTGTAATGATAAACTTCCTGACGTCAAAGAGTTATTGTGCAGAACAACTCTCTTACATCAATTTAATGGTCGAAAATGGATGTACAAGTGAATTGGCAATTTTACCGAGGTCACATCTAGGGGAATTGATTATATGTAGATTAGTGGTAGTGTGTGAGATCAGGGGCTCACAATTTTTCAACGCATAAAATGCCGAACAATTCCATGCGTGAATGCACTTTCACGCCTGAATCACTCTAATTAATTATCGTCGAGCGAGGTGAAGCTGTTATTACCGAGGTCCTCAAGGCGTTGGTGTTTACAACGTGGACAGGATTGTTTTCAGTTAATTTTATTACTCAATGGAGTGGAGGAGTTTGGGAAAGTAATTGCGAAATTTTTTTACCTGATTCACATAATTTCCGGGTTACTTTCGATATTTTTTGGAGAAATTCGCCGTCGATTTAATCTGCGATCATTCAATTCGCGAATTACTACTCGACGAATGTCTCGCGAATCAGTGAATTTAGAGAAAACAGGTGGAATTATCTTTTCCATTCAACTTTCTGATTGAATATTAATTAAAGATCCAGAAGTAAATGATCCGCGGTTGTAACGCTACACTTTTCTACAGTTTTGGAAATAATTCCTCTTCCTTTCGTGGTAAGAAAATATATTGTACAGTTAATTGAAATCTCATTAAACAAGCTTCAAAGAAATACGTAAGTTTTGTAATTCCCATTTTCATGTGATGGAAAATATCAAAGAGAAATGAAGAATTTTAGAAAAAATGTCTAGCACTCAAATTTTCATCACGATTAAACTGATGAGATTCAATGACATGCAATGGCTGCTAGCACCGGACTAGCTTATCGCAAAAATCGGAAAACTGGTGAGACCCCAGTGATTATCCTCCAATCGTAAATTTTAACTCACCAATGTCACAATTTTTCCCAATGAATCCCGGCTTGCAATCCGAAGTGGCAACACACTTATGAACATGAGATCCATTGACCACCGATTTCTGTAATGCATAGCCATCGCAACACTCCGTCACATTCCTCTGCCTCACCTCTTCCTGAGAGCAAAAATAAATCACATCAATAGCTAATGATCTTTCACAGAAAAAAAAAACCCAACCATTCAAATGTAATTCTATCCCCTGAATCAGGCAGCTAATGAATCTACTTTTTCTGAGAGACATAGGACGTAACATTATTCGTAATCAGTCACTTGAATCGCATAAAAGAAGAAGTTCCCTATCGAAAGTGGTGTCCAGCAAAGCCTTTCGCCTCACTCTCCATTTCTCTTTTCCTCTACATGTTACATATGTGTGCTCAATCAATGAGATCACCGCAAAATGTAAATTAAGAGCGCCTGAGATACAAAAAGTTCATATCCACAGATAATTAACTAGTCGTTTTGCTTAATTATTGGTATTTAGGATAGGCTAATGGTGAAGGAAAAATCTTTGTGGCTAACGATTCGATTGGGAATACAAGACTAATGTAACGTGTGCTAATCTCGTCGTATCAGATTATTTAATTAGCAATTGGAGTACTTGAATGCTCGGGCCCTCAACTTTCACTGTAATGAGCGTCATAAAAGTCGTTTTAGGTATCTTTGCTTGTTCTGATTGATTGTCAGGGAAATAATTACTTTGGTTCTGTGACGGATCCTCCATTCGGTTTGGGACCGAGAACATCTTGGGGGAATCGCCAAACACCAGAACGACGTCTGCACCTGCACCGGCTCTTGGTATGATTCTGTCACTGTCGTTGTGTAGCTGAAAATTCAATTTGTTATTTTATCGAATGACTTTTTAAATGAACAATAACTTAAAACCCCATGAACCACCCAGAAAGGACGATTTTTTAAATTGGAATTTTCTCGATAAATTTTTATTAGACGCATCTCTCTTTTTTTTTCGCTGTACATGAGGCGCACTGTGTGCTGCAATGATTTCATGTTTATTCTCCTGGTAGATGGTGATAAAACCGAGAACTATACGACAGCTGAAAGAATTTTTTTCCATCCGGGCCCCAGGGGCCGATTTAGAATCCTTGACGGAGGAAAGTGAATTTTATTCTCGTTCTTTTTTTCGTTCTGAGAGTTTTAGCATTTGCGAAATAAATAAATGTGGAGGTATCCGTTAGTTGAGAACAAAAAATAGATTTTGAATGAAAATTACGTGTCTCAGTCAAAGAGTGGGACTCATTAAAAAGTGAAAGAATATTTTGGATAATTCTGGAAAATTGCAGGTACAACATTCCTTTTGTATCTTTTGAATCATTGAATTGGCACTTCAACTATAAAAGTGAATAAATATGAAAACTCGAGAGAGTGTTATTAATTGGATGGATAATATAATAGTCTTTAGATCGGTTTGCGCAATTGAAGATCGCGGGACTATGGCTTGTCTGTAGTACGTATTTAGAGGTTTTCGAGTGGATTCATTTGATTTGTACGAGTCTTTATTCCTCTGTAGTTGAGATTCAATGATGACTTGGCAATTTAATCATGAGAGATCAAATATCGTAGCAGACACCAGGTTGAAAGACACTGGAGTACCCTTGAGCCTCTTTTCAATTCGATGCTCTTTGGCGTTTGAAAGTCTCCACTTTTTTCTATCTTGTTTTTAAACTGTGGATGTGTTGCAAATACTTCCGGTGTTTTGAAATATTTTTTTCTATTCACGGTTTAAAAAATCTTGAGAATTCCATACGTTGCAATTTCAACGAAATGTTGGATAATTTTTGTAGAATGGGGTCTCTGTAAATGATGGAGAGAATTTTATTTTTCACAGCAATTCCATGGAATTCCACGTGATTAAACGTAAATCAAAATACGATAACCAAATTTCTACTGAAATTTACTCGGATGTCTACAAAAAATTAATATGTTGGGGAAATTCAACAGAAATATTAGGATGATATTGGTATTTGTGATAGTTTAGTTTGAAATGTTGAACGGTGAATTTTTTCCTGCGCAGAGAATTTTCCAGAAAAGCATTTCAAATTCGATAAACACCGGACAAATTGAGATGACAACCGTCTAATTCCTCTTCTAATGACTCCCTTCATTGTCCTCTACCTCGTCTAGACAAGCACACGTTTAAACTCTGCAATTACCCAGCTGGAGTGCATCCGGGGTGAAGAAACTCGAGTTAAATCCAGTGACAATCGACAAAACTCGTGGATCCCAGGAGAATGCCTCCCCTCGACTTTCAATTGGATTTTCAATCTACCGAAAATTGAATCGGCTTTGATGTTCAATTGATTTTAAATTTTGCCAGTGAGTCCGAAAGCTCCGGCTTTTATTGAAAAATCAGTGATCACTTCACACGGAAAATTCAATTTTTATGAATTTTCAAGATGAACGTGGAATTTCCTCTTTTAAAAGAATTCTTCATTAAAATGTTTAAAAATTATTGATTAATTCTTTCATATATAATCTATGTTCTATTATATACGACATAAATTTCATTTAAACTTATTTCTCAATTTTCTAAACATACAACTTTTTCCAATAAACATTTTTTTAACAATTAAAAATTTCTTTAAACGGGACAATTTATCGATTACCTTAAAAATTCGAGATTCAAAATTCAAAAATGTACGCCAAGTTCAGTGAACGTAGTAATTATGTGCTTCCATTACAGATTGAAAAACATCCATAATATATTCTAATAAATTTTATTGAACAAATATATATTTTTCTGTAGATTCCTCCATATCCTAATTATAAGCGCATATAAATTGTTCCGACTACTAGTAAAAGCGGAAATTGGAGAAAATTTAGAAAAAAAACTCAAGAGTAAATACTGATATACTTATGCTATGTAAATTAATTAAATAATTATTGTTTCTGAATGTAATTAAAACATCTAAGTGCTTAATGGGAATTCTGAGTAATTGCTTTGAGATGTACTGAGGATTAAATGAATTCTCACTTTTCCATACGATGGCATACGGCTCCGGTCATTGGCTCTCCGGTTGCAGTCATTACCAGGACAAGGACGAGGACGAGGTCGCGCTGCTGAAGCGTCCAGGATAGCCCCATCTCACCGGAAGTTTCAATTCCACTGCTAGACAGTTCTGAGCAATTAAAACCTCACAATTTGATTATCCTATTTTTCCATCAATCCTTTCCCGCAATTTTCCACTGTTTTAATTCAATTTTAATGTCCCTCTTGACAGATCCATCACCAACTTCACAACTCGATTATTCACGAGGATCTGATGCCAGCCTCGGGCTAAATGACACCGAATAAATTCAACACCCAGACCTCAAACAATGGCCTGTGGTATCACAAACCATCGCCTGCTCATGTATCGTCTATCTCCCGTCAAATAAACACATATGCGTTCCAAAGATCGTCACAGGAATTCTCTTTATTTCAATGTTTGTTCAAATATTCATACTCTCAAGAAAAAATTGCAGTAAACTCCTTTGATCATTCATTCATTCTCTTTAGATATTTTCTATAGGATACCCTCATCAGTGAAATTAAATGTAAAATATTTCAATTGAGTCTATAGGAATATCGAATTATATTGACTTGTTGGTAATTACAGAAACAAGAGAATGGGGAGCTTGAGATAATATTCTGTGTGAAGTCCTGATTTTTAAACAATTTTCTTTGGAATAACAAAAGTAGAGCTGAATTGAAGAAGAAATTGCGATTCTCGTTAATTGTTTGAAATGAAGTAGATCTTTAAAGTAAATGAATCCAGTTGACATTTCAATTACTAAGTTATCTGAATTTTCAATAATGTTAGTTTGAATTCATTCATTCAGTTCCAATTAAAATCATTAAATCTATAACTTATCTTGAAAATTTGAAAAAACTAGGTGTTCCATGTTAAATAATGATTAATTTTCCAATAAAACGCTGAATTTTCATTCTCGCCATGAAAAATTACTGTCAAATGCAATTTAATTTTCAATATTTTCAATACATTTTCCGTTTTTTACGCAGTGGCAGGGGAGCGTGAGAATGGGAATTACCAGAATATTCAAAAAATCAACTGCGTCTCTGTAGAATTCCCCAACATTCCATGTCACTTTGTCATAAAAAATTAAATTTTAAATTTCAAATGTAATTTTCCAACAATGTACGTCAATTATTTTCATCAGATTCACTCAAGATGTTAAATCACATCGGCATTTCACTCCAACCTCCCAAAAAGCCATTGCACTGATCACTTTCCACTTTATTAAGACAATTTCTAGACGTAAAAATAGCGGTCTCTAAGGGGAAATTGATGGCGACATTTCTGCAGAAATGGGAAAGAATCGGACGGTATTTTTCCAGTGTCTATTACGAGACTCTCGTCACGCATGTCTTGGCCACCAGATGTGACAGTTTTATTGGTAATGAACGGAATTTTTGCCCTTATTTATTCAATATAACTGGGACTGCATTCCTCTGGGGGTCTTTCCGCGCACTTTCTTCAGGAACTATAACGCACGCGAATTACGTCACAGGTTCTTTGATATTTTGGATTTGGGGTGGGAATGTTGAAGGGATAATTTGTACGTTGGTTTTGCAATGCGTCTTCAGGGCACTAATATGCACTTGTGGCACAATGAACTCCGACCCTCTCTGACTTTGGTGTATGTCCCCACCAGAAGATCATCACGTTCAATCATCCCATTCGTTGGGGAATTAAGGGATTCAAGTGGTTGCAAACACCATGGACGTCGATTTATAAGTGTATGAATGCTTGTGCATGAGTTACATGCAAAAATTACCGCTTTTTTAGTCATTTAACCCATTTATGACCGCCTCATGACGTCACGACGTCACGATTTTTTTAAATTGTAATTTTCGTCATGACGCACTGGTATGACGTCATTACTACGAATACTTGTGGGATGTGACGGGAAAATTGAGGGGTCATCTTCTTTTGGACGTAATTGAATTTTTTTATGCTTTTATCATTCGATTATACGAATTACATGTTTTACATTTACATTTTCGTGGAATGATTTATTGGGTGAGTCGTGGAAATTAGAATATCGTTGTGGAAAAATGGTAATTGAAAATGAAAATTCTCGAATGGATTAGTTGAAATTTGGAATCGGTTAATTGAAAAAAAATGCTAATTTCATTATATCAAAAAATTTTATTATAATTTTATTATATAAAATTTATTCAAAAAAATCGAATATTTTTAGAGGGCTTTCTTTGAAGTAAAAAATGGGGTCAGCTCAGAGTCGAAATTAATTTGTCCACCGATGTTCATAATTATGAAACATAATATTTAAATTGCGCGCGGATCACGTCATCGGTCTCATCGTGCGTCCGTTGATATAATGAAATAATCATTAATGTAATAATAATTATATAATAATTTGAGATGCTGTTATAAAATTCTAACGAAATTCATCTGTGGAATCCCCTCGATTTTTTTTTCGGGAATTAACTTTTCACGTAAGTCGACTCAAGAAGTAATTTTAAAACGAGTTAATTCCGACTTCACCACTTCACTACTTCACTACTCAATGTAATTTTACTCCACTTTACATCCATCAATTTCCTATGAAGAATTCAATCAGAGTCCTTTCATTTCTTATGTCAAGATTACAACCATTTCTTAGAAACTGATATTTCCTCCTGCGGTGATTATTCAACTCATTGCTCGTTGAAATATCCATAATCTATACTCACACGGAGAACAATTCACACTAATTTTTTTTCCTTTCCCCATTATTCCTATTGGAAGTCGTTTTAATAATTTTTCATTCTAGCATCGCAGTAAAAACCCAAGGAGGCTAGTAACAACTTAAAATGTTTTGCAGAATTGCTGTGCCAAAGATTTTCTTTTTCATTTTTTTCGTTTCTCATTATTTAATGATTCATAAAGTTTCCTGGTGGTGTCATCATTTTCCAGTGTTTTTTAAAAACTAAAAAAATTACAAAACAATAACAAAAACTCATAAAAATGACGGTACAACCATGAAACACCGTGTGTCATTAAATAATCATGAACCCTCGAAAAAATAATTTTTTTATGTCAATCCCATTAATAATTTACCAGAAAAATAAACAAAACGTAAATGTTGGCTAAAAGGGTAATTAATCTTCCTGTAAATTGTTTTATCGGCGCATGCGTAATTTCTGTACCGAGAAAAAGTCGGTTGCTCAATCTATCTCGTATTATCGAAATATATTTCGTGGATATGTTGACATCGGCGTTAATGCCATCACCAACGAGCGCTCATTAAAAATTTTTGTTAATTGAATTTCCTCCGGCTCTCGAGTGTCTCAAGGACACTTTTTCCACTCGTTCCAATTTCTTTACAACAGCCCTAAGTTCCTGGATAGTTTTCTAGGCGAGAATGAGCTGACGCAAATGTCAAGTTTTCATACGGATATGTACCACAATTTCGTAATGGTTTTCAAAGTTATTATCGCGTGGTAATGGCAAGTCGCGCGACGTTGAATCACTCGATCTGTTGTTCCATGGGCGCAATATAATGGGCAATTATTTCAACAGTGCGATTATCCACATGTTTACCGATTACCGCGGTTTTATTATCATTAACCGAGGTAATTTGCCTTAGCGGAATGATTTTTTTTTTGCAACCCAGGGAAATATCGATTGGGGAATTGAATCGAATTGAAATCTATAATGCGGAACAGACACTCGCTTTCGTTCATTATCTCGCAACCTTCACCCCATGAACGTGAGATGATTTTATCATGGTGACGTGAAATCGCCATTTTATGGGAACAAATAATTCCCGTTATTCATCACGCCTGCTTCAAAATAGGGGGATCGTTGCATAATTCACACTTTTTTGGATTTTTAAAAAAATATTTTAGTAGATGTGGAGCGACTTTCACTTTATGTAATCCGTGGATGAACTGCCCTATCTGCACATTTATCTTTTTTCGCAAGATGAGGGAGATTGCATTTTTATTGATTTTCGTTCGAGTTATTTTACAGAAAAATTCAACCGATCGTACCGATTTCGAATAATAAAATCAAGAACAACTTCATGTTTCTGCGATTTTCGATGTTCTTCTTTCGAAAATAATTCAAATAATCTAATTCATCACTGGAAGGCGCTCAATTGGCTAAAAAGTTATTTCGATGTTTATTTTTTCCACATGTAATGACGTGTTCATGCCGGCATAATTAAGAGCTCTGGGCAGCTGTGAGAGTGATCTCCCACGATTCACTAGGAGGGACTTGAGCCATTCCAGTGTCGAAGGCTAATAGTTTTAACCATTCCTCTTATCCACTTTCCCCTCTTCTATTTGTCTTCCTCTTTTCTCTGTCGTCTATCAGTCCGACCGGAATTTCAATCGATGCACTGACCGTACATCACTCAACCTTTAGTTTTTTCCACTTGTTCATTCCAACAACGATTACAGGGCATTTGATTCCCAAAAGAATATTACATAAACCAATTATAATAAAATAATTAATTATGATTACAATTGTGATCATGTGATATATCCTTATTATTAATTATATGAAATTTTCCAATGGGAGATATTCAACATTTAATTCAATAAATAATTAGTTTCTCCTGAAAAATGTCAACTCGATAGATTTTTCCATCCAATATTAATGGATGAAGTGTAATAATATTAGTTCATCGCTTCTGAATGAGAAACGACCTAGATAAATTAACAGCAATAAAATATTTGTCAAGTACTTCTGCTTGTGTTTTTCTTTTGGAGTGATATAATCTTGGGATAATCCAATACCCTTGGGAATTACGAATTAAATCTCTGATGAAAATCGTCTCAAAATAATATTAAATTCTAATTTCAAACGTTTTCTTTGACGCGCCGTCATAATTCTCATGATAATCTATATAATCTCAGCTTCGATTTAAAATGCCCACTAAAATGGTAAAATATGTGATTTCCACTGGGGGAAACGGATCGAGCCGTTCACCTGGAAACGATTCGTCTTCTAGGATTTACTGAAATATTGACCAGTAAGGATATATATTATCAATGTAAAAGCGACACGCGATAAAAATAAATGCTTGAAAGCTATGGAGGCGGGAAAGTACCCGTGGTTCTATTCCAATAATAAAAAATACATAAAATTGTGGAAAAAAAGTAACAGAACATGACACATGTCTCTACCGTTACAGTTCTTTCCCATTTCATTTTCAATAAAAATGATCGATGACTCTTGAAAATAAAAGCAGCAGGTGGATTTTTCCTTCCAGTTATATAATTTATTAACGTACAATAATTACAATAATTAAAAAAAAAACCCCCATGAAAAATCCTGTTGCTCGGGAGGACGTATGGATAACAGAAAGGAATGACAAGGTCAATTTTTCCACTGTTTCCATTAATTACATGGAGGAATTAAGTGAGTAAACAGTCTTAATATTAATCTTAAGTGTTACAAAAAAAACACAGAGAACAATAACCATTAATTATTTACATTCCTCATAAATTGTGCCATTTTTTCGCTAGGTTCTAGTTAGAGAAAAGGAATATTGGGAAAATAAAGTTATTCAATACTTTGAAATAATATTTTCCCCTTCAATTCCGATGATTTATATGTTGCATAAATATTTGCTAGATTTTCCCAGTGTTTTCATGATCTACTGGCTTCTTTTCTTCCTATGTACATTTCGGATTTCTCCAATATATAAGTACAATACATTGTCTCCTCTCGGCTGCTAAATTGTGTGTTACCATTTGTGTGTGCTCATAACACATTGTTTATAATTTGTTCCAGTGATATAATGATTTTGTGGAAAATGTTGTGAAACTTCTGAAACCGCAGGCTAGACAAGCTTCAGGTCTGAGTGCCGTGGAATATTCTAATTTACACACTAATTATTAATTACCTACATGAGATAATTGCGGAGTAATAGGAACAATTGAATCATTTCTTCTAGAAAATATAAAAATATTGAATTCGTAAAGAATGAATTCCAATGACTTAGAAAATTAATTATAAATCTAGATTTTAAATAAATTTTTTTTATCTTTTTTAATCAGATTGTCACTTTAACAAGTACAAAAAACTTAAAATTTTTAACACGTTAAATTTCTTTTGATACTAATAATCATATTATTTCCGTGAATATTCGACGAAATTCCGATTTTCCGATCAGAAGAGAGAGATCGTTCTTTAATCAATCGATATTTTAAAAACCAGCAAAAGTCAAATCATGATCTGAATTTGTGGAAATTACACAAATTTCCAACAATGCAAACTCCCCAGACATTTCCACGACAATCTGTACGCAATTTTCAAGTGAGAATTTATCCTCCATTTTCCTAAAAGGTTGTAACTACCTGTATCTCATTAACACGTTCCCCTGAAATTTTCACGAGTCTGTCCATTAAACGGTGAAAGCAGCAAAAGAAGAGCGAAAATAATGTAAAGCGAGGCGGAGCCTCGGAGGATAGCCTCCTCATTGTTTCGCGTCGTGAAGTTTCGCGGAAAGAGTTCCGTTAAAAAAAATAAAAGTGAACCGAGAGTTCCAGTGAGGACGTTACCTTCCTCCATTGCATAACTCACCTCTTGGACGAACCAGTTTTTTATGTGAAACGTTGCGCATCGTTATACACGTTACTTGGGCTTTTGGGAAAGTTAAAAAAATGTTTTTTTTTTATTCAACCAAGAAACCGGAGATATCAAAGCCATTAACACGATGAGATCAATGGGGCAGTGGCACGTGCCATCTTTCAATAATCGTGCAAATCCGCAAGCGGAATTTCGTATGGGTAGAATCACTCGACCATGAATTAATCCCAACTATCGAGACAGACTGAACAGAAATCAATCGAAGAAATCCATTTTTTTTCTTGAAACCCACTTTACAATTTTCGAATGGGATTTTTAAAAATTGAAAGATTATTAAAAGCTGCAAAAAATTTGTAATTTTTCTTCAAGATTCCCGATTCGTGAACAAGTTTTTTACTATTTGTTTTTATATAGAATAAATGTGTAAAATACTATCAATATTGCGGAAATTCGATTTATATAGAGTGGACTCCTGTTATAGTCATGTGTATGGGGCTGTAGGGGAAGCGAATTTTGAGAATTGGACTTGAGTCTCGTTTTTCTGAGACTTCAAGTGTGAAAATTTCCACCGATTATTTGAAATTTCAGGATTGTTACCCCCAAATGGGAAATCATTTTTTAATCGAAGAGTGGACGGGTCGTTCGGTTTAGAATAGAAATAGAATGGAGAGTAGGAGAATGGCAGTGAGGCCTGATGTGCCCCAGGAGTTGGCTGAATTGTAGTAGAAGCCACTTCCATACACCTGGAGTCCAGCGGTCTCAATGCTTCGCTTGCAGTAGTCACCGTCTGTAAAATCAATACCCTCAATTAGTGGCTGCACTTACGTGATGCAACATTCGAAACGATAAATTATTCCCGGGTTATTTGCCTGATTCAACGCCGTATACTGAATATTTTTGGAGCCCCTGAATTTTCTGAGATTTATTCGAGACGGATGCTCTTCCCAATTGCCAAAAAAAAAAATCTCAAAAATTTCCCTTCACATCGCCTGACCCCCAAATCGGTTCTCATAAATTTCCAACGATCAATCGATAAAAAAAAATCAATATCCACCCGATAAACTACGCCCACCTCATTTGCTTCATTACTCACAACCACGTTCACAGAAAATTAGCCCTCGATTACTCATGGCTCTCGACGTACTCGAGTAATACCGTGGCAATACCCAAATGAAAAAATAATAATAAAAATCAATAATGAAGATAAAAGGATGTGAATAATCTCGGTGTGGGTGTCCTGCAACAAAAGTCAGACCAAGTTAAGTGTGTCGTGAGACCAAAACAAAGAGCAACGAGTCATGAAAACGAGAGGGAACAGACGTCGAACGTGTCTCACGATTCAGACTGTTCTCCTGTGCTCTGTACCTCTATTTCCCCGGATCTCCTCCAGGCCTTCTCCAGACTTTTTTTTCCCCTTCGTAAGTCCCCCTCACCTCCCACCCACCATTTAGCTCATTTGAGAATACTTTACTGGTAGTACGCCACCTCCGGCCCCCTTTCGCTCTCGTTCCACCCATTTCGTAATAACACCTCAGTCCCACGGAGAATCAAATGTAATGGCACATAGAAGTGGTTTTTTTTTTCATCCATAAAAAGCTGTCTAAACTGGGGATGTGCAAAACTACGCGATTGATTGCTGGTGTTGTTGGAATTAATTTTCCAACCACCAGTACAAGTATTGAAACTCTTTCCACTTCTCTAGTCCGCGTAGATAAATGTGTATACAGGAATATATGTCGATTATATCCGGATATATATCACATATATTTCGGAAAAACAATTGATTTTTCAAGATATATTTTCGATATATTTGCGCAAATATATCTTATCTATATTGAAGATGTATTTAAAGCATAAATTACACATATTTAAGATATAATCCCAGTAAAAAAAATATATATACTTCATTTATAATTTTTGAATAGTATGTTTTTCCATGCCATTACGCGGTTTACGTCAATTTTATCCTTACAAAATTATTTAAAAAATATATTGTATAAATCTTGTTGAATTTTTTCGCCAACTGTTCCAATGGCAAATCGATTTCTCATCGGGGGATTATCTATTGGCATCTATCAAACAGCTAATACTCAGTATATTTTGTTTATATATTTACCACTTCGCTACTGAATTAATGAATGCCAGTAAACTAACAAAGGAATTTTTAGCGAATATTAATGGAAATTTTATAATGTCAATTATATACGACATGACATAAAGGTGAGTTATGATTTCTAAAATATTTAAATGGAATAGAATTTCAAATAGAATTGAATAGAGAATATGGATGGGTGAGAATTGCTGCATCGATTTGATGGCAATTAATTAGTTTTTTTAGGGATTTCCGGGAAATCCCTCGGGCTGGGGAAAAGGAAAGGGATATCGATGAAAATTGATTGCTCACCGGAACAGTGACTGATGCTAGGGTTAATGATATTTTTGTAATGCTTACCGTATGACCAACCGACAACTTCACCGGATCTCAGGTTTTCCGTTCTCAGCCAGTCCTCGAGGGGCCTGAAGTATTCACGCACTGCATTTCCGTCCAATCTGAATTCGCCGATCGATTCCTGGAGTGTATCCTGCCATGGGCGAGACGATCCTTTCTCCATCAGTCTCCTGTGAATGAGAGGATTTTATTCGTGGGATTTGTTAAGAATTTATTGGAAATTAGGGGGGCAGTGGTTGCAGGAAGTCAATGCTGCAAGTTTTGGAAGTTTTCGCGGAAAATTTTTTTTTTTTGGAAGATGAAAATTTTTTTTACATGAATTATCATATTTTTACTACACTGAGAGAAATATTCAATAAAAATTACGTGTATTTTCCGTAATTCTGGAGCGAAATGTGGTTGGCGGAAATTTTACGGAACTGCCACGTAATTTTTATCTAAAGTCACGGAATTTTTTCGCGGTGTTCCGTAATTTTTATCTGAATTATCGGTGAAAAATAGAGATACCGTCACTTAAATTTTTCGAATCAACTCCGTAATCGGTAAGTGAACTGAAAGTTCCGTAATTTTTACTAAATATTTCTCTCCGTGTAAAGAAAATTAGTTTTCGGTATTTGTGGTTTAGTTATAGTTTATAATTAATCGAATTATAAATTTTTCATTTGATTACGATTTACTTCTCTGAAATTTTATGACGATTCTTTGAGGAGAAAATTGAAATCCACAAAGATACTGATTACAGTAATAATAATGTTATTTTTTAAACAAAAATATAAAATATGAAACCAAAAGTCATATGGTAACAAACAATCCTTGAAATTTTTAATTATTGCAGGAATAAAGAATAAAGTTGTTGAAAAATTGCGGAGAATTTAGAATTAAACGATGAGTTTTGCCACATCTCTCCGACTTGCAATTAATCTTTATGGAATAATTGATTTGGAATTCGCAATTCTCATGAATTTTCTCATGAAATCCTGTATTTTTGATGAACAAAAAAAGTTGTTTAAATAAATAAAAATTTGAAAAAATAAAAATTGTGTGAAAAATTGTTAAAAAATTTTCAGGCATCACCTGAAATTCCAATGTACAATTTTTTACAGCAAAATCAATTGAAACTCCGGTGAAAGTACAGTCTGTCAGGAGTTTTTAATAGTTTACTCTGCGATGTTTTTTGTAGTTCAAAGAAACGTTTCGTTCATGTAGAACATTTTAATTCGCACAAAAACATCCCTTGATTTATCTCCACTTCATATAAAGTTCTCGACTACATAAGACTCCATAAACGCGACTAGTCTTTCCTTGACATTTTCCTAGATTTTTTCACAGGTGTATGAAAAAAAAAAGAAAAAACCGTACGTGGTTCAATTAATTAATGATCGTAAGGTGTAATGGTGTGCATGAAGTCATGTGTAACGTGGAATACGTCATGAGCCTCCGGCGTTTATTCCCTGCCGTCATGACCCCTCGTACACTTGACCTTTTGCCAGAAGGCCTCCAACTCTAGTTTATTATGCGTCAGGTGCCACGACCGTTCATTTAACCTGCCGTAAATACAATCGAAGCTTCAATTATCCTCGATACACCAATCAAAATTAATATCGAATTTTCCCGCATGATTTCCTGAAATTTTTACCACATCCGCCACTAAGAATCGAATGAACATCATTTAAAAATCAGAATTCCACAGAAAATTTTATTATAACTGTAACAGTTTTTGCAGTTTGATTTTCAGGAGATTATTAACACTCTGTAGTGAATATTTATACTAAGTTGAGTTGTCAATTCACTCAGCTAATTTAAATTACGGAATTTCAAGACATTTAATTGTTGTTAAAAATACAGAAGTCTGCTGAGAAATCACTAACAATTCGAACCCCGATTAAGTATTCAGGAAACATGATTTTCTACACTTTCGAAAATTACACTAAAGTCTCGAGTAAAAAAACGTCAAATTATTGACAAAGTGATATGAAATCTGTAAAATTTTCCATTAACAAATCAATTAATGTTTTGAATATTCTGGTAATTCTCAATTTTCAATCTATTGAGGGTGAACTTTGATGATGGGCTTGAACATTCAGACCTTCATTGAGAAATGAATTACCATTCAACAAGAAAATCCGAATCTTCTTGAATTTTCAAGATGAATGAAATATTGAGAAATTGAGAAATTGAGTGATTTTTTAATTGGAATTGAATGAAAATTGACGTAATTTAAAATTCAAACGGCTTTATGACTGAAATTTCCCGAAATATTTCTTACAGTGTAGTGTAACCGATTTTCTGCGATTCGTCACATTTGTCTCGTTTTATTTTTTCGCTCGGTGAGAGTAATTTTGCACGCCGAGGATAAATGGTATCTGGAATGATCTCACGACTCAGGTGCTCAACTTTGCTGCAGTCATTTCACTTGTATGAAAATGCCTAGCATTACGTCATATTATAATTAGATAGGGGTTCGGAGAACCGGACGCACTTAGAAGATATTTTCTGATGGAATACTCAAGGTTTTATTATGGCTGATTTTTTGTCGTTCTGTCATTTGGGGTCATGAGAAACTTGTGCAATGAACGAATATAATGTTTTTTATTTTCTGAAAAGGAATTCCTTTTTCTTCACTAATTATTGATCACCGGAATTGAGCACATTTATATTAATAAAATTAAAAAATTGATTCATCTCAATTATTTTCATGTTAATTTATTTTTATTATTTCAATTGAATTTTAGACTTTCGAATTAGAGAGAGATGACAAATTATGAAAGTGGAACAAATTAGTCTCATTTTTGTGATATAATATTTTTGTGAATCAAATTAAATTCAGTTTCATCAATATTAATGGATTATATTAATAAATCGACTCTCGTAACTCTAATTAATATCGTTGAAATGTTATGAAAAAAAATCTGAAGAACATTCAACAAAAATTCTACAAAAATGTGAGAATTGTAAAAACTTGCACATTTTTATTCTGCAAACCAAAAATGAATTTTTGCAATGAATATAAACGTAAAGATAAAAATGATTTCAGAGCCCATGTGCCAGAGGATTTCCAAACATCCAGGAAATTCTACAAGGAATTTTTCTTCCTATAAATTACGATAATTGCACTAGTGCGGAATCATCAGTGAATCTTATGTGAGAAGTAATACTCCATTAGGAACGACTTATCAACATGAAGTGGATGGTAAACGTTCGTGAGAACCAGTGAATGGACACGAGTGATTTTGGAATGGCTGTATAACACTTGCAATTGAGACCTCCCTACACCTTACGAGTTGTCGTAATTCATCGATCTTATAATTTCCGGTGGCCAAAGAGGGGGAGGGTTGCAAGGCAAAATTGGGACTTTCCTGTCCGCGTTAAGATATTTCATAACAAGGGGATTGCGTTAATAAAAACAACAAGTTCCTTACACACACGCGTATAAATGACTTGCAACAACAAAAATCGATGATATTTTTCCAATCCGAGATCAATCGGAGATGCCTATCGGACCCAATCAAAAATTGTTACTCAAGACTCTTGCGCAAGTAGTTAAAAAGGGATTATGAGAATTATCAAGAGGATTCCATAAATACTATTGATCAATATTGGTGAAATTATGACAAATCAATGGCGCGTCATTAGTATCGAAGGACATAAAAGCCATTTCCAGGTTTTATCAAGTCTCAACCACTGGATTTTCCAATTTATTCACCACTGACTCTTTACTACGAGCGTTAGCCCGAGACATTGATACACTGGGTTTCATGCACCAATACTCTTTACAGTGATTTCGTAACCCCAATCGCACGTACACAACACACAATAATTTTCTAGCATTGCAATTCCAGGCGAGAGTTTACCAGTCAACCTCTTCCATTACAGGAAGAGGGGTCTCCATACACTGGTATTTAAAAGAACAGACAATTTTCGTGCCAACTGTGTAATTGGATAGTTATGCCAACGTGTTATGTTTGCTCTGATCACTTCACCCCATTACCCACTTCCTTTCCCTCTGTCACCTGAAACATTACGTTCGGCGAATGTCAACAATTAGCTTCACATCGAAAAAAAAATTTTTTCCAATCGTCACAACAAATTCCTCTTCAAAAATTAAAACCTCAAATTACGTTAATTTTACTCCTCGCATTCAGTGTCATTGCCTTGAAAATTGATGGTTCGTGTAACTTCATTTTTTTGTTCTGAAAATTGCACTCTTGGAAAATTACACTGGGAATTTCACGCAGAAAAACGTCAAATTTTTAACAATTCTCCACTTACGAATTATTCAAATTCTCAAATATTTACGTAGTTCTAAATTTTTAAATCGATAGTGCACTGAAAACCCGAAAAAATGTTGAAAATTGAGTCAATAATCTCTCCTAATTTTCAAATTTTGTTTTCAAAACTTCCATTCAAAAATCAATTATTATTTAATATGAAAAACTCAATTTTTTAAGTTTTAATGAGACATGAGAAATTTAGTTATCCTTGATAACTTGAGGATCTCCCACCCCCTTCAACCAAAACTGGTGTTTTTTAAATTTTTCTGACAAATCGTTGAAATAGTAGAAAATTCAGTAAATTTTCAACAGTTCAACTTCACACATTTAATTTCAAAAGTTTGGGGTAGGCATTTGCCGACCCCCAACAAGTTTAATGGGCTTGAAACCTCTGTAACGCTGAACGATCCATTCTAAGCCCCACGATTTGCACTGCATGCATGTATTGTTGCATCACAATCTGGCAATCTACTCCCTGAAACTAATGCCTGCATTTGCTCCTATAAGAAGAACACTCTGAGAAGTGGAGTGAAGCATTTGAGCAATGAGACAGCCCGATGTTCCCCATATTTTCCCCTATTCTTCACCTCGACATATGCAATAAACAACTGATTCAATGTATAAACTGGGAAAAATCATTTATCATTCACCTAGACGCGTCTGTTTGCCCCTGTAATTGAACCGGTGGTAATTAAATTAACGTAATAGTGTGAAATCATCGCAATCCACCAATTGGGAAAATATACGTGGGAGACTAGAGGTCTAGATGTTCCTTATTTTTATTTTTCATTGCTTCAGAAATTGAGAAAAATGAATAAATATAACGAGAGGGGAGAAAAATTATGAGGACGTTGGATTACCTCGGCCGATGGGAAACTAATTTGCATAAGAGGCTAGATTACACGTCTTACATAGTATATGGAAAAACTCGGTATGTTTTGAATAATGGAAAGTGAGGACTAAAAAATTATGTGTAATTACTCTCAATTGTGGGATTATGATTGTAATATTTACAAGTTGGGAAAGTACGAGAGGATGAAACAGAATGAATGAACGCTGAGCGAATGATGAGCGCGAATGTAAAAATTCGCAACAATTTTGTGGATCGAAATTTGGAGAAATCCGTTCATTTTCCATGTATCGATTTTGCAGAGTGCATGACGCAGTTTTTGATGGATACGGGGAATGTGGGGCGAGCAGGTCTTTCTTTTGAAGTCAAGATCAAATTCTTTTCCTTTTTCAATTACAATCCGCAACTCTCAATCTCGCCATGTCGAAGTGAACCAATTGATCTTTATTTTCTTCTTACGGTCATCGGTGAAAATCAACATTTCAATTTCGGTTGTTTTTGAATTACAAAACTCTTCACTCCATGCAATTAATTAAATTGAAATTTAATTGGATAACCGGGTGGTGCTGATATAAATTATTTTGGAAATTACCGTGTTACTCAAAATTCCAATTACAGACCTGTTGGTCATCATCCAATTAAGAAACTCCCGAACTTAATCTAGAAATCCGCGACACTATGTAATAACCGATTCGAATGAAATCCAGTTCTCCAGGGAAAGTTAGTTTAGCAAAGTGGACACCCTTGAGTCGTGAATTTTAACGTAAACTGAAATGTCAAGCATTGAAACCATCCTGTTGTAGGTTTTCCAAGTCAAATGAATATTGAATACCTCGAGTGAAATTTCGAATCTGAAATTGCGTGGATTTGTCAGTCCCGAGAGAAATGACGACCATTCACTCGTCACTAAACTGATGAGCCTTGCCAATCATATTTAAGAAAATACGCAAGAAACAATTATACAGAGAACTACTTAGAACAGTTCTAATTTCCTCTCACCTGCATTCTAGGACATAACCGAGTCCACCTTTATATTACGCGTATTTAGATCTTGATGTAATGAGTTTAATGCAACGTAATCGGTTGATGTCAAATGAGATGGATGATTTTTTAAATATTTACCTGAGTACAGCACCAGCTTCTGGACTCCTGTAGAAGTCGCACTTGTGCAGGGGCCTGCGAGGGTCATTCATAAACCGCTGTCCTGCGGCTTGACAGAGACCTCGATACAGTTGGAACTGAAGAACACCGGCGACAAAATTTCTGAAAGTGAAATTGAATTTATTACGACCAGTGAAAATAAATCAGGACGAATAAAAGCGTTCAAGGATTTTAGTGCTGAAAAATTACACTTGATATTTCAAGCAAAAAAACATGAAATATTTAAAAATTATTATTCATTGACGAATCATTGAATTTCTTGAATATTCTGATAATTCTCAATTTTTAGATTGCTATGACACCGAAAACCCGTAAAAATGTTGAAAATTCGAGCAGTAATTTTACAAAATTTTTAATCTGTGAAAAGTTTGATATTTTATTGAAAAATTAATTATGATTGAGTATGAAAGGCCCAATTTTCTAGACTTTCGAATATAAATAAAAACTTTAGTGAACGTTTTTACATGAACTTGATCTCAAGCTCATGAAATAGAAAATTCAGATGATTTTATGACTGAAATTTAAAGAAATTAACACTGTACGTACTAATTACATATCCCCATATAATTATCCTGTTACTCAATCGAAACTATCGAAGAGATAAAACGAAAGTCTTTAGACTTCCGGACCTCAACAAATCCGATATCACGATGAAAAAAAAAACGCCTTGCCGGTGAAATCACCCAATAAACTGATGAATGGTCGATGCATGCCTATCAAAAAGACGTCCGATAGCGTCATAAACCTCCCGCAATCAAAGTGACAATAATAATAACGATGGCAAAGAAGTAGGTAACAAGTGGGTGAGTTTCACTCGATCTCAAGGAACGTCCTTTACGTAATCCGCCAACGACAGCGTTAAAAACCCGTAGTTTTCCCATCCTGTTACCATGAATTATTCTCCATCCCCTTGCGGAACTTTCAGATACCTCGGAAGCTGAATAATCCCACAAACTCATGCACGACAATTTGGTCGATGATATTTGTGGTAAAAACATAATTTACCGCAAGTGGCCAGAATTACCCTATGAACTGGAAAATCGTGAGGAGCATTTGGTTCCGAGTTGCCAAGGGGGATTTGAATGCTTGATGACGCTTGAGACCGATTGAGAATGGGAATCACACAGATAACTCTGGACTGGCAGAACTAGAAAAAAATAAATAAGTTGTAACCAATGGTCTGATGTGTATTGGATATACAAAGTTGGTGGGCACATATCGTTGGGTGAACAAAGAACAAATGTGGGGGGTACCCAGGCAATGGGTCAGGCTACCTCGCGGAGGAAGGCGAAAGTGTGCCGCGTATATAAAGCCCTGGACGACTGGCAATCAGCATCCAGTTCACTCCTGGACGCACCCGGAACCATTGTGAATAGCAAAAATGAAGATTCTGGTAACGTCCATACTGTGTGATAGGCATTAAACCAAAAGTTTAGTGGTTATACAAATATAAATATCATAATAAATTCAAATATTCGTGTTTCAGTTTGTGTTTGCCCTGCTGGTAGCAGTGGCATTTGCCGAAGAGGCGGAGAAGAAGGATGCAGCGACGGAGGCCAAAGCCGATGAGACAGAGTCATCCAAGAAAACAGAAAAACGTGGTATCCTCGGTCTTGGTTATGGATACGGTTATGACATCGGTGGATACGACATTGGTGGTGGGCATGGACAGAGTCTTCACTCATCCGACTACGATGTAGATAGCATCGGTAGTTATGGAGGTGGTTATCACGGTGATCATCACGTTAAAACCGTGACTGTTGTGAAGAATGTTGCTGTACCATATCCAGTGGAGAAACACATACCATATCCCGTTGAAAAGCACGTGCCTTATCCAGTTAAAGTACCAGTGCCACAGCCTTATCCAGTTGAGAAGCATGTACCGTATCCAGTAAAGGTATACGTCAAGGTGCCAGTACACGTGCCCCAACCTTATCCCGTTGAGAAGAAGGTGCCTTATCCAGTCCATGTACCTGTTGATCGTCCATATCCCGTCAAAGTTCTGGTGCCACAGCCCTATCCCGTTGAGAAGCACGTGCCTTATCCAGTTAAAGTACCAGTGCCACAGCCCTATCCAGTTGAGAAGAAGGTGCCTTATCCAGTAAAGGTACCGGTCCACGTGCCCCAGCCTTATCCAGTCGAGAAGCTTGTGCCTTATCCAGTTAAAGTGCCCGTTGACAGGCCATATCCTGTTGAAGTACTCAAGCCATATCCGGTTCACGTTGAGAAGAAGGTGCCCTATCCAGTTGACAGACCAGTACCATATCCAGTTAAAGTACCTGTTGACAGACCAGTTCCTTATCCCGTTGAGAAACACATACCATACCCAGTCAAGGTGCCTGTACCAGCACCTTATCCTGTTGAGAAACCCGTCCCATATCCCGTTGAAAAGCCCGTACCCTATGCCGTCAAAGTTCCCGTCGACAGACCATATCCCGTTCATGTGGAGAAGCATGTTCCTTATCCAGTAGAAAAACCCGTTCCCTATCCGGTCAAGGTACCTGTTCCTGTTCCAGTTCATGTTGAACACCACCAGGAGCATCCTGTTGATCATGGTCATGGTAGCTACGAGTACGCCGAACCAGCGCATCATGGCAGCTACGAGTCATACGACTATCATCACTAGGGAATAAAACGATTATTCATCCAGTGCGTCTCAACAACAACGAGTTGCCGGTTCATCTGAATAACGCGCATTCACACAACGATTACCTGATGATTTCGTTATTTAATTATTGTATTATTCTTTTTAAGAAAACAAGCACTGGAAGCTTGGATAATACTCCAATTCATCGTACTTATGGAGTCGAAGGAGACTGGCGGCTCGTTACAATCAATGCCGGAATTTTACATGACATTGATCTGGAAATTGTATAAATGTAGAAAATTATCACTGCCTCCTGGATCTCCCGTATGGTTACCAAGTTTTTCGGTCCAATGTCTCAACGGCAGGGAATCAGCTGACCCGCTGATCTCCAGATCATCATTTTTTTCGTGGTGATCCGCCTCTGCTGGACTTCGCTCGATTATTAATGTTAATAATAATTCTGTTAGGCGCTCTATCCTTTCTATTTCATATCGATAGACCCAGAATTGATGTATTTTTGTACGATAACTATTAAACAATTTAAAATTAATGATGATTGTTCTTGTTATTTAACATTGAGAGAAGAATTTCGACGCAATACTTCCCTCCACCAGTGAATCCTCGAGTCTATAAAACCGTTCAATCTCAAATTTCACTCTCTACCATGCGATAATATGAACGTAAGTCCTATACGTATTTCAATAAATTCTTCGTATATTAAGAAATTAATGGAGGAGAGAGTGCATTAATTGGTGGAGATGATCGTTATTTATTTCTGGTATACATGAGTGGATATCTCAGTGAAACTCTACGCATGGACACATGTCGACCAGCGGAAAAGAGACTGGAATTGTGCAATCGGTCATTCGCGCGGAGCGATAAAAATGTTTGCATATGAAAGTAAGAGTTTTTCAGTTGCAATAGAACGATTGAATCGCATCCTTACGCATCCGCGTCTTCCGTGTAATGGGAACAAGGAGGAAAAATAAAAGACTGAGAAAGGTGGGGAATTATGACAACTTGAAGAAACGTTCGATTTCGAAAGAGGTATTGCAGCGTGCGAAATAACGACATGCATCGCTGTGCATCGTGCGAGGTACCGAGATATTTTGTCATTCCTCACTTGAACAATGTGACGTTATTATGGATTATTATGTTATTAGGAATTTCGATGCTCTCGGGGATGATGGAATATCGGGCGACTTTCACGTGACCTCGATAACTGAATTTTACGTCAGGTTACTACGTTTTAAGATTAATTACAGGGGTTTTATCAATATTTTTAATTCAAGTTTTGGAGTCTTAGTCTTTAGAGACTGAAAATTGAAATTGAAAGGGGTTCAAGCATGTAGCGCCATCAAGTGCTTGAGCGGGGGAATCCCAGAACTTTTACGTTTCGCTGATTGCACGGCCGTCGGTAACACATACGCGAATTTTTATGAACGGGAGAGTGGCCCAGAGGTATCACCAAAGAGAATTGACTAAAGTAGAGGCTCAGTTCTGGGGGGTTGGAGTGACCCCCGCATCGGAGTACTGCACCCCAAGAGAGGGAGGGCGCCACACGTAACCAGATCCAATTAACCTTAACCAAAAAGTATCGGGAGAACATGCAAATCGAGGAGGTATTCACTGAAATTTTGAATTTGGCAATTTCAGTGAATACCTCTTCGATTTTCATGTTCTCCTGATACTGTTTGGTTAAGGGTTAATTGGATTTAGTTATGGGTCACATGGCGCAAAATATTTAAGTGACTCCATAAAATTTTAAAATTTCAGTGAATACAAATTTCGTAATGCGGAAAATAACATTCACCCTGTCGACTGCTCCCTCTGACAGCGGGACTACTACTGAGGCAGTTACCGAGTCGGCTGACGGGTAGCCACCCCACCATTCGGTGCGACCCCCTCTTTCTCTTGGGGTGAGGGACTACACTGGCGGTGGGGTCACTCAAACCCCCACTGAGTGGCTCATTTCTGGGGGAGTGCCCCACCCCAAGAGGAAGAGGGGGCTGCCCCCAATGGTGGGGTGTCTGCCCGTCAGTCGACTCGGTAACGGCCTCAGTAGCAGACCCGCTTGCAGAGGGATAAATCGACTGGGTGAATTTTATTTTCTGAAAATGTAAAATTGTTCAATTTCAGTGAATACCTCCTCGATTTTCATACTCCCCTGATACTTTTTTGAAAATTTAGAATTTTTCGAATTTCAGTGAATACCTTCTTAATTTTCATGCTCTCCTGACACTTTTTGAAAAATTTCGAATTTTCAAATTTCAGTGAATATCTCCTCGATTTCCATGCTCCCCTGATACTTTTATAAAAATTTCGAATTTTCAAATTTCAGTGAATACCTCCTCGATTTTCATGCTCTCCTGATACTTTTTCAAAAATTTCGAATTTTCAAATTTCAGTGAATACCTCCTCGATTTTCATGCTCTCCTGATACTTTTTTGAAAATTTCGAATTTTTCAAATTTCAGTGAATACCTCCTC